GGGACACTGCTGTGCGCAATTGGCTGCCATGTTTCACCCACAAATATACAGTCAATTCACTTTATAGTGTAGCGCAGTCTCTGTACTGTGGGCGGAAACCGGACTGGAGGGGTTCGAAGAGAGAATGGGAGGAGAAGTGTGCGTGGAGTTGGTTGGCAACAGCGCGTTCTAGGACTTTTTGGAGGAAGGGCAGGTTAGAAATAATGGCTGGGTTTTGAGGGATCTAGGGAGGGTTTTTTGAGGAGGGAGTTGTTGACAGCAGTTTTGAGGGGGGCAGAGGAGGGGGAGCTGGGTGACCAGCAAGTTGTGGGGAGGGGGTCGAGGCAGCAGGTGGTGGGTTTCATGGAGGTGATGGTGGGTGAGAGGGAGGAGGGAGAGATGGGGAGGAAGGAATGTAGGATGGGGGTGGTGGTAGGAGCTGATGATGGGGAGGGTGAGAGGGACAGAGAGGGCGTGGTGGTGGGTGACAAGAGGCAGGTGGATGAGGCTGCCTGGCGGATGTTAAGTATTTTAGATGAAAAGAAGTCCATGACCTCCTCGCACTTGGCATTGGATGTGAAGATTGAGGACGCCTGAGGGGGGGCCACGGAGGAGGTAGTGGGTGGTGGAAAAAAGGATTTTAGGGTTGTGTTTAGCCTCCAAGATGATGTTGGAGTAGAAACCGTTTTTGTGCGTGTCAAAGAACGGCGGTAGCTATGGAGTTGGGATGGACTGTGAGGCCACAGTTGGGATGGACTTTCAGGCCAGTTTTCCGCCATCTGCGCTCGAGCAGCTGGGTTTGGGTTTTTAGGCGGCAGAGATGGTTGTTGTACCAGGGAGATCGGGTGGGTTTGGAGATGGTCCTGAATTTCAGGGGGAACGAGGGAGTTGAAGGTGGAGGAGAGGTGATCGTGGAGCAGCTGGACGGCTGCTTCAGGATCTCCGCAGATGGAAGGCCAGAGGGATAGGAAGTTTGATGATGAGAGGGCCTTTGTGAGGGTCATAGAGGGTAGCCTTTTCCAAAGGCGGTAGAAGGATGGTTGAGGGCTTGGTGGAGGAGAGAGGGATGTGAGAGGAGGAGATGAAAAAGCGCCTTATCACATCTTTGAGGCGTCTCAAAGCGCTTCACAGAATAGACTGTAAAGTGAATTGACTGTGTTTTGTGGGCGAAACGCGGCAGTCAATTGTGCACAGCAGCGTCCCACAAACAGTCGTGGATTGAGTGACCAATTTATTATTATTATTATATTTATTATCCTCGGAGAAGTGATCCGCCAATCGAGTAAGGAACATTTTGTGCTGCTGGGAATCAAACCCAGGTCTCTCGTTTGCAAGGCGAGCGCTCTAACGACTGAGCTACAGGACTCCACAATGCCAAGTTAATGCCCAAACTAACCAGTTGTCTCTATTAGTACTTTGTTAAGAAGCCTCAACATTGCTCTGAATACCAATTGTTAATGAGTGATTCGGGATTTTACTCCAATAACATGGAAACTTTTGGCCTCAGAAAAGGTCAATGGAATTTAGCCTGTAATTTCTTGAAATACTTCTCACATTTTTCCCCCTAATCCCGTTACTTTCGAATGGTTTTGTTGATGGAATTGTATGGGCTTTCTTGCCTCTGATAAGCTCCTGCTGAGCTAAGGTTTAGAGCTTTCTCAGTCACTGGTGACACGGAAACCGTGGCCTTGTCTCAAGTCAGTCAGACACGTCAGGGGGTCTCAGAGCTTCGGCAGCTGCCGGTCACATCTGGCCAGTGGGTGATCATTACACCGCCTTGTTGAAAACGTCTTGATTTGTCCACACGATGATTCTAATCAGAGGTTAGAGTAGCAGAGTCTCTTGATAAGGAAGAGAGGCCTCACTATTGCTTTCATTAGGTTACGAGGAGACCTAATAGAGGTCTTCAAAATCATGAGGGGATTTGATAGGTTAGAAAGGGACAAACTGTTTCCACTGGTGTGTGTGTCGGTGACTCGAGGTGACAGATTCAAAATAGTCTCTAAAAGAAGCCGAGGGGAGGGGAGAAGACATTTTTTCACGCAGCGAATCTGGAACGCATCGCCTGAAAGGGCGGTCGAGGCCGATTCAATAACTACTTTTAAAAAGCTGGTGGACGGTCATCCAACAGCAACTTGCATTTACAGGGTGCCGTTCATGTGGGGAAGCATCCCAGAGCACTTGACAGTGGCGGATTCTGACCCCGAGCCGGTGGGGGGGGGGGGGTGGTGGAGGGGGGAAGTGAACATGAGCACAATCAAAAAGGAAGGCCTTTAGGTGAATTTGAAGGAGGGGGGTGAGGGTGTGAGTCGGAGGGATTGAGGGAGAGAGTGACAGAGCTTCGGAGCGTCGCGGTGAAGGCACGGCCGCCGATGCAGTTACAAAATGCAAATGTTCTTGTAAAATGAGTTAACGTTTTAGATCGATAGCTTTTGGTCTCTCTTCTCTCTCCATAGATGCTGCCTGACCTGCTGAGTGTTCCCAGTGACTTCTGTTTTTATTTCAGCATAAACAGCTTTATAAACATAAACTGGCAGTGATGGGGCTGCAGTGATGGGGTTGTTGATTTAACTTTCAAGATTTTACATAACAAAATGCCAGGGAAACAGAGCAAAAATCAAACAGTGACTGGACAACTGTAATGTAACTTCCTGCTCGTCTGCAGGTCAACTCGTCCGGGAAGCTGTAATAATAAATAATGAAAACAGAAGTCGCCGGGAACATTCAGCCTGACCTGTTGAGCGTTCCCAGAGACTTCTGTTTTTGTTTCAGATTTCAGATTGTTTCTGCAGTATTTTGCGTTTTGTTTATAATAAATTCCAATCCTTGAATTGATACAGTGCCTTATCTCACAGCTCACAGTGCATAATGCTGAAACTTCATAGAATCATAGAATCGTACAGCACAAAAAGAGGCCACTCGGCCCATCGAGTTTGTGCGGCTCTTTGAATAGAGCAATGTAATGTCAATCCCACTCTCGGCCCTTTCCCCATAACGTGCAAACCCGTCCTCCTCAAATACCCGTCCACCGCGTTTTTAAAAGTAGTTATCGAATCGGCCTCGACCGCCCTTTCAGGCGATGCTTTCCAGATTCGAACAACTCGCTGTGTGAAAAAATGTCTTCTCCCCTCCCCTCGGCTTCTTTTAGAGATATTTTGAATCTGTGACCTCGAGTCACCGACACCCACACCAGTGGGAACAGTTTTTCCTTTTCTAACCTATCAAATCCCCTCATGATTTTGAAGACCTCTATTAGATTTCCTCGTAACCTTCTCTGCTCCAATGAGAATAATCCTCACCTCTCCAGCCTTTCCTCATCATCACGGTCCCTCATTCCTGGTACCATCCTCGTAAATCTCCTCTGTACCCTTTCCAATGCCTTAACATCCTTCCTATAGTGCGGTGCCCAGAACTGGGCGCAGTATTCTAACTGAGGCCTAACCAGTGTTTATATGGGTTAATCATCACCTCCTGACTCTTGTACTCTATGCCCCTATTTATAAAGCCCAGTATCCCATATGCCCTTTTTACAGCTGTATCTACCTGTCCTGCCACCTTCAAGGATTCATTTACCTGCACCCCCAGGTCTCTCTGTTCTTTTACCCCCTTAAGATTGTATTACCGCCTATATTGCTCCCCTCATTCTTTCTACCAAAATGCATTACCTCACATTTCTCCACATTGAAACTCATCTGCCATGTGTCGCCCATTTTACCATCTGTCTATGTCTTCCTGCAGTCGGCTCCTATCCTTCTCACTGTTTACCCCCTCCCTAACTTTGTGTCGTCCGCAAACTTGGAAATGGTACTTGCTATACCCAAGTCCAGATCATTTATGTATATTAAGAAGAGCAGTGGTCCTAATACCGATCCCTGGGGGACACCACTGTACACTTCCCTCCAGTCAGAAAAGCAGCCGTTCACCACAACTCTCTGCTTTCTGTCTCCCAGTGAGTTCTGGATCCGCTGCCACTGTCCCTTTTATACCGTGGGCTTCTATCTTTCTTACAAGTCTTTCATGTGGCACTTTGTCAAATGCCTTTTGAAAGTCCATATAAATGACATCAACTGCACTACCTTTATCCACCCTCTCCGTTACCTCATCGAAAAATTCTATTAGATTTGTTAGACAAGATTTGCCTTTAACAAATCCGTGCGGCTGTCCCTAATTAATCCATATTCTTCTCAGTGAAGATTTATTCTGTCCTGGATTTTAGTCTCCAGGAGTTTCCCCACTGCTGATGTTAGGCTGACTGGCCTGGAGTTCCCAGGTTTGTCCTTCTGTCCCTTTTTGTACAAGAGAGTCACATTGGCCACTCTCCAGTCCTCGGGCACCACTCCTGTGTCCAACGAAGATTGAACATTTGTAGCCAAAGCCTCCGCTATTTGTACCCGTGCCTCCCATAGCTAACCTTTTATCGTATAATCTTTTTGCCCCTCTTACTTCCTTTTTCAGTTCTCTTCTGCACTTCCTATATTCTATTTGGTTGTCTTCTATATCTTGGGTTTGACATTTGTCATACGCCTCCTTTTTCTGCTTCATTCTAGACACAATTACCTTCGTCATCCAGGGAGGTTTGGAAGCCCTACTTTTCCCTTTTGTGGGAATGTATTTGTTCTGTCCCCGAGCTATCTCATCCTTGAAGATTTCCCACTGCTCTTTAGTTGTTTTTCCTGCCAATCTTTCTTTCCAGTCCACCTTGGCTCGGTCCCTTTTTAACTCACTGAAATTAGCCTCTTCCAGTTGAATACCTTTACCTTTGATGGTTCCTTGTCTCTTTCCATATGCACTCTGAATCTAATGATGTTGTGATCACTATTGCCCAGATGCTCTCCCACTGAAACCTGATCCACTTGCCCTACTTCATTCCCCAGAACTAGATCCAGTTCTTAAATGAAGTCACATTGTGTTCAAATGTCAGGAGCAGCTTATTACTGTATTTCGAACCTAAAATTAAAAAAATATACAATTCCACTTCTCCCATTTAATGTTTCTCTCTCTCTCTCTCTCTCTCGCTACAGATTAAGCAGGGCAATCGTGAATGTGAGTGTATCCTTCACAATGTTGAAGTGATAAGCAGCCTGGCGTGGGCCCAGAAATGCAGTTTCCAGTATCCAAGCTCCCAGCTGCAGCACCTTTGGAGGTAATGCCTTTCTCAGGAGATTTAGTTTTCTTCTGAGATTCATTCTGAGATCAGGTTTCTCTGCCAAGAGGAACCTAGTCATATGTGAGGATATAATGATAATATAACAATAATAATCATTGCATTTGATATATCGCTTTTCACTTTTTCTCGACGTTTCAAAGCGCTTCACAGAATATACGGTAAAGTGAATTGACTGTATATTTGATGGGTAAAAAACAGCAGCCAATTGCGCACAGCAGTGTCCCACAAACAGTCGTGGATTGAAGTGACCAATTTATTATTGATTTTTTTTCTTGAGGGATTATTACCAGGTGTCCCCTAATGACATCTTGACCATCTGCAACCAGGGCTCCCTCTGCCTCCTCATCCTCCTCGATCTATCGGCCGCATTCGATACAGTCGACCACTCTATCCTCCTCCACCGCTTGTCCTCCCACCTCAACCTTCAAGGCCCTGTCCTTGAGTGGTTTAGGTTGTACCTCTCCCACCGTCTTCATTTTGTTTCCACTAACGGCTTTTCCTCCACCCCTCGCACTGTCTCGTGCGGTGTCCCTCAGGGCTCTGTCCTCGATCCCCTCCTCTTCACCCTCTGAACTCTGCAGCTCGTGTACTGTCCCGCACCAGGCTTTGCGACCACATCATTCCCATCCTTGCTCCCCTCCCCCAGAGGATCGAATTCAAGATCCTCATCCTCACCTACAAGGCCATTCACGGCCTCGCTCCTTCCTACCTCTCTGACCTACTATCAACCTACCTACCTGCCCGTACCCACCGTCCCTCTGGCTCCGGTCTGCTCCACATCCCCCGCCCCAACCGCCCTACCATCGGTGGCTGGACTTTCAGCCTCTCAGCCCTGAGGCTCTGGAACTCCATCCCCCGGTGCCTTCGCCGCTTCCTCCCTCTCCTCCTTCAAGGCCGGTCTCAAGACCTTTCTCTTTGACCGTGCCTTCAGCTCCCCTCTCGACTCTCTACCCCCTCCTCGCTCCCTCCCTTCCCTCCCCTCACCCTGACCATTTCCCCCCTCCTCGCTCCCTCCCTTCCCTCCCCTCACCCTGACCATTTCCCCCCTGCTCGGGTCCCGACCTAACTGTCCAGCGCCTTGGGACGTCATCCTGACGTGAAAGGCGCTTTATAAATGCAATCTTGTTGTTGTTGTTGTTGCTCTAACCACTGAGCTACAGGACTCCACAAAAACTCCATGTTCAGATGAGGGAGAGTTTTGTGAGCAGATCTACAGAAGCTCTTACCTGTCTCTTAGTGACTGGTTGAGCACCGCATTGCCAGAGACTCGGACCCTAGTCGTCGTCCCTCCTTCCTGATAATAATAATAACAATAATTCTTACATTTGATACAGCACTTTATCACGTCTTCGAGACATCTCGAAGCTCTTCACAGAGTATACTGCAAAATTAATTAACTGTGTATTTTGTGGGGAAACATGGCAGTCAATTGCTTATTGATCATCTTATTGTACATCTAGGTAGAGGGGATTAACCCTTAAAATAGCAGTGGGAGTCCAGCCCTAGTTTGTGTCTGTCCCAGAAGCTGGTGATGGTTGCAGACCTCACAGACAGGCAGGTCCATCACCTCCTGACGATGCCAGGTTTGCACCAGGTTCACGTTGCTGTCACTGGTTAATGAAATTATGTTGCGTTTAACAGTTGTCACCTTATAGAATCATAGAATATTACAGCACAGAAGGAGGCCATTCTGCCTATCGTGCCTGTGCCGGCTGTTTGGAAGAACTGCCCAATCAGTCCCACTCGCTGCTCCTTCCCCATAGACGTGGTGGGACACTGCTGTGCTTGATTGGCTATCGCCTTATTACTTAGCAATAATTAATTTATTACTGTTATAATAGTTTTGCCCACAAAATATACAGTCAAATCCACTTTACATTATATTCTATGAAGTGCTTTAAGACGTCTCAACGACGTGATCAGGCGCTATATCAAATGTTATTATTATTTTAATACAGTGCCTGTCAACCTCATGACAACATCACCCTAACAGCCTTCCTGATCCTTATCTCCTGGCTCTCTGTAACACTTGTGCAGAGCCTGAACAGGGACACGTATGTAACCAAAACACAAAATACTGCAGATGTTGGAAGTCTGAAAACAAAAACAGAAGTCGCTGGGAACCCTCAGCAGGTCAGGCAGCATCTATGGAGAGTGGAAAGTGAGTCCACGTTTTGGGTCCACGACTCTTCGTCAGAATAGAGTCATGGACCGGAAATGTTGACTCACTTTCCTTTCTCCATAGATGCTGCCTGACCTACTGAGTGTTCCCAGCGACTTCTGTTTTTGTTTTTAGGGGAGTGTATGTGTTCAGCAGCATTGTCCTGAAAACATGGCTGTGAGAACGTTAGCGTTGTTGACATTGGGTGTGGGATGTTTATTTAACAGGAGTTCAGTTTGTGGTTGTAATGCTTAATGGATTGAGAAGGGCTTTATATAAAGAATCCATGTTGGGAGATGGCCAGAGAGTTGACATTGATGTGCCTATTCCACAGGCTGTTGCTGCTCAATCAGTTCCACGATGTGTTGCCTGGAACTTGTATTCAGACTGTGGTGGAAGATGCTGTGAGGTATTACGAAGGTAAATCAGCCTGGCTAAGCTGAGTGAGGCTACCTTCACTAACGGGGGAAACCTGGTGTTGCTTTCTCTGCAGTTCTGCCAAGTGACCGTCCCTTAGCCCTCAGGGAAAAGGAGGCAACTTGCACTTTATATCCCTTATCATTCCATGATGTCTCAAAATGCTTCACAAGGAATTACTGTCATGTGTTAGAGATTATTTTTATATGCAAACACTCTGCTATTAACACGTCAGGGTCCCACAACAATCATGAGGTAAATGGTTTGTTAATCTGGAGGATTCTTGGCCAGGACACTGGGAGAAACGCCCTCTCAAATAGAACCTTTACTGTCCAGCAGACAGGAGCTCAGCTGTTTACTGTACATTGAAAGGTTTCAACTATATTGCTGTCTCCATTCCAGCCAGGGCAGGGTGTCAGTGTCTCTTACAGTAACATCTACGGTACCCTCTTCCACCATCAATAAGCTCCAGCTGATTCAAAACTCCACTTCCCATATCTACCCACTGTTGTCCTGACAGAATGTCTGTCAGACGTCAAGTCCTGGATGAGAGCTAACTTTCTACAGTGGAACGTCAACAAGACCGAGGCTCCTGATTTTCTCCTGTCAGCGCCTCAACACCTCAGGCGCTGACAGCATCACCATCCATGGTTGACACTCCACCTTGCTAAGTCAGCCCTTGGCATCTCGTGTTTGACCCTCAGCTGTCCTTTCTACCCCACATCCGTGCCATGACTCGTTCTGCCTTCCCCCACTTCTGCAACATGGCCCGACTCTGCCTCACCCCTCAGGCCGCCGAAACACTAATGCACGCTTTCATTTCAGTGAGGCTCAACTATGCAAACTCGCTGCTTGTCGGCCTCCCCAACTCTTCCCTCCACAGGCTGCAGATCATCCAGAACTCTGCAGCTCGTGACCTCTCCTGCACCAGGCTCTATGACCCTACGACCTCCACTCTTGCCCGGCTCCACTGGCTCCCCAATCCCCAGAGGATAGAAACACAAACAGAGGTCCTGGGTACGCTCAGCAGGTCAGGCAGAATCTATGGAGAAAGGAAAGTGAGTCAGTATTTCAGGTCCACGACCCTTCGTCAGAACTCCACATCCTCTTTTCAATGAATAAATGAGGAAGAATGGGATAAATGCCATTGGCTCAGACTTTGACTGAAGCTTAGCTCCCACAGCAATATAATAATACCCCTCTCCTGACCCCTTCTCCCCTTTGCCTTCTTCTGATTCCATCCCTCCCCCCAATCCCACTCCTTGCCGTATCTTCAGTCTCATCCTCAGAGGATAGAGTTCAAAATCGTCGTCCTCGCCTTCAAGACCCTCCACAGCCTTGCTCCTTTCTACCTCTGTTACCTGCTGACCCCATACCAACCTGTCTGCTCCCTCTGCTCAGCAGGCTCTGGCCTGCTCCACGTCCACCACCATCGGCGGTCGGGCCTTTAGCCTCTCTGCCCCATCCTTTGGAACTCCATCCCACAGTCCCTTCACCTCGCTCCTTGCCTCCACATCAAGGCGCATCTTAAGATCCTCCTCTTCAGCCACCCTCCTATCCCTACTCCTCCTTGATCCCAACCCCACCCCCACCCCAACTCTTCCCTCCACAGGCTGCAGATCATCCAGAACTCTGCAGCTTGTGTCTAAACCCTGACTGTCCAGCATTTTGGGATGTCCTCCCGATGTGAAATGGGCTTCACAAATGTAATTTTGCATTGTCACAAATTGACTTCAAGCCTCAAGCTCACTGATAAATCCCTTCACGCCAAAGCACCTACTTATCTCTGCAAACTTCTCGTATCCCACCTGCTCTGCTCTGCTAACTCCTGAGTTACCCTCTTCCCCCATCCACCATCATCAGAGGCCAAACTTCAGCTACCTCAGCCTCTGATGTGTAACCTCAGCAATAATCTCAGTCTCACACCCTCGCTATCATCTTTACGTCCCACCTCCCTTTCCAACCATGTCTAAGGCCACCTCCTCTCCCCTCTCCTTTGCTCAGCATCCGATCACGTCATTGTGAAGCCCCTTGAGATGTTAGCAGATGTGAAGGGCTTTATATAGATGCAGCTTGTTATAAGTACCATGAAATATCCTTCAGGTGTAAATGCTTATTATTAGGCTTACAGTCTAGTAATAAATAATCTCTGGTCCATTTGGCCATTTTAGTGATTTTAGTGAGTAAAGAGGAGACTTGTGAGTGGGGACGCTGTCCAGGTGGCTGTCAGGGTGTAATAATACAATAATAATAATAATGTAATGTAGCCTTGGACGTGTTGGACATTAGCTTAGTTTGGGATCTCGGGGTGGGGGTGGAAGGGGGTTGCGGGTCTCCAGGCTGCTGTAGGTGGAAGTGAAAGTCCCGTTGCTGAGCGATGTGTGTTAAATCCTCTTTTCAATGAACAAATGAGGAAGAATGGGATAAGTGCCATGACTGAGGCTTTGACTGAAACTTAGCTCCCACAGCATTATAATAATATAATAATCCTTGCATTTGATATCGCGCCTTATCACGTCTTCAAGACGTCTCAAAGCGCCTCACTTTATAGTGTAAATTGGATTGACTGTGTATTTTATGGGCGAAATACATTCCACTTTCTGAACAAATTGTTTGCTTCCTGACCAGTCCAGGTTTACAGTCTGTAAAGAAGATTTCAATTTTTATATCTTCTGTAACGTTATATTTTTCACATGTTCATATGTTCAAACATCTACTTCACCTTTCACGTCACTGTGTGATTTTGTTTTTGTTCACAGAGGAAAATCTCTTGCTTCTGTTTAGACTTTATCACAACAATAACCGTCGCATTTGATACAGCGCCTTTAACTTTTACAGTGTAGTGACTGTGTGTTTTGTAAGCAGAACCATCGGCTAATTTTTGAAGTGCAACATAGGAGGCCATTCGGCCCATCATGTCTGTGCCGGCTCTTTGAAAAGAGCTTTCCATATCAACCGCACTCCCCCGCTCTCTCCATAGCCCTGATCAACCCCACTCCCCCGCTCTCTCCCCCATAGCCCTGATCAACACCACTCCCCCGTGCTCTCCCCATAGCCCTGATCAACCCCACTCCCCCGCGCTCTCCCAATAGCTCTGCAAAACATGTCCTCCCCAAATAATTATCTACTCTCTCAAAAGCCGTTATGGAATCGGTTCCCACCAGCCTTTCAGGCACTGCATTCCAGATCCCAACAACTCGCTGTGTGAAAACATTTCTCCTCCCCTCCCCTCTGTTTCTTTTAACAACTATTTTAAATGGGTTTCCTCTGGTTACCGACCCACCTGCCAGTGGGAATAGTTTCTCCTTGTTCACCGCATTGAATCCCCTCATCATTTTGAAAACTTCTATTAACCTCTTAACCTTCTCTGCTCCAAGGAGAATAATCCCGGCTTCTCTGCCTCTCCTGATAACTGAAGTCCCTCATTCCTGGTACCATCCTGGTCAATCTCCTCTGCACCCTCTCCAATGCCTTGACATCCTTCCCAAAGTGTGGGGCCCAGAACTGAGCACAGTCTCGAGCTGAGGCCTAACCGGTGTTTATAAAGGTTCATCATAACTTCCTGACTTGTGTACTCTATGCCCCTATTTATAAAGCCCAGTATCCTGTATGCTTTTTTAACAGCTTTATCGGCCTGTCCGGCCACCTTCAAAGGTTTACTGTATGACCCCCAGGTCTCTCTGTTCCTTCACCCCCTTTAAGATTGTACCATCAGTTTATATTAATTTCCTGGCAACAGATTGTTCAAAGAAGAACAATAACAAGTTACATTTACACAGTCCCTTTCACATCAAGAGAACGTCCCAAGTCCTTGGACAGTCAAGGAGTTAGACACGAGCTGGGGGTTGGGATCAGGAGGGGTGGAGGGAACGGGTAGGAGGGTGGCTGAAGGCACATTCAAACAGGAATAATAATAATAATACTTGCATTTGATATGGTGCCTTATCACATGTTCCAGAAGTCTCAAAGTGCTTCCCAGGCTACACTATAAAGTCAATTGACTGTATATTTGTGGGTGAAACACAGCAGCCAATTGCGCACAGCAGCGTCCCGCAAACAGTCATGGATTGAAATGACCAATTTATTATTGTTTTTTTCTTGATGGATTATTATTAGGCGTGTGGAGCAAGGAAACTTACCCAAGGTTTTGCCCTCCCGGGAATCGAACTCAGGTCTCTCGCTTGCGAGGCGAGTGCTCTAACCACTGAGCTACAGGACTCTGCCATATAATAAATATGCCTTAAATTGTAATTCCTACAAGCAGTAATCTTTAATTTGCATTGAATTTGATTTATCAGTAATCAGACGAGGTGCATTCCGTGCTGATTTCTCTTTTCAAGACCTTGAGTGCCTCCTTTGATTTCACAATTACCCTACATCTGTAAAATGTGTTACCTTGCACTGACTGCTCTATTTAGTTCTAATGGTCCCAGAAGAAGGTCTTGAGACGGACCTTAAAAGAGGCAAAGGGGGGGAGCGAGGCGAAGGGACTGTGGGATGGAGTTTCAAAGGGCGGTGGTAGAGAGGCTGAAGGCCGGATCTTTGATGGTGGGCCGGGCTGAGTGGGGGAAGCGGGACGTGGAGCAGTGCGGAGCCTGCTGTGCGTGGGAGTGGGACGGTCTGTATGGAAGGAACAAGGAAGGCTCCAGTGTGAATAGCAATTAAACCTTTATTTTTTCTGCTTAATTGTCCAGAGATCCGGAGCAGCGGGAATCAGCTGCTGAAAGATGCCATTCAGTGTCTGCTGGGGGTGTCTGCCCAGGAGAGCAGCAGCAACAGTAACGTGCTCAACACCTTGTCGTGGGAACGCACTGAGGTCGTCTCAATGCCTCGACTAGCAGGGGAGGAGGTTCTCGGTACATGTAGTTCAGTCAACAACAACAGCTTGCATTTGCACAGCTCCCCTCACAGTGGTGGAGTCTGACCCCGAGCCAGGGGGAGAGGGTTGGGGGGTGGGTAACTGTGAGCACAATCAAAAAGGAAGGTCTTTAGGTGGGATTTGAATGTGGGAGGGACAGGGCAAGGCAGAGGGATTGAGGAAGAGAGTGACTGAGTTTCGGGTGTAGTCGGTTCTAATTAGAGAGTTTACACCCTGTGTCCCAGTTAATCACAAGCATAGCTGGGTATACAAGTGGAGCAATAGCTGTAAAGGAGTGCCCATCTCAGGGAAACCAGGAGAGACAGCTTTTTGTGATATCAATGACTTACTGATATATTGCCTTTCATATAAAAACAAGTGAAACGTCTTGAAACAGGAGCACATGTTCTGACAGTCAGTTGCAAAATACTATTAATTGTACTCTGGTGTACAAGTTTATAACTGTTCTCTCTCCTTCTCCTGATTCTCCTCTTACTCCTAATATAGATGAAACTCTCTCCCTGTATCGTAGAATAGAATAAGAATATTGCAGCACAGAAGGAGGCCATTCGGCCCATCGTGCCTGTGCTGGCTGTTTGGAAAAGCGACCCAATCAGTCCCACTCCCCCACTCTTTCCCCAAATCCCTGCAAAGTTTTCCTTTTCAAGTTCCTCTCCAATTCCCTGTTGAAAGTTAGTATTGAATCTGTTTCCACCATTTCAGGCAGTGCATTCCAGACCGTGACAACTCTCTGAGTAAAGAAAATGTCCTCATCTCTCTCTGGTTCTTTTGCCAATTATCTTAAATCTATGTCTCCTGGTTACTGACCCACCGACCAGAGGAAACAGTTTCTCCTGATCTACTCTGTCAAAACCCCTCATCATTTTCAACAATCATTTGAACTATGTCACATGTTCTCCAGAATTAAGTAATTAGGTAAGCAGGATGCTTCCCTCCAGGGAGAGTGAGAGTGTACCATTCTGGACACAGCGACTTTTCTATGTGTAGGAGGTTGGCTTTGCTGCTCATTAGCATCACAGCAATGTGTTTCCACATCTGTCAGACACCGGCTGACTAAAAAAATCCACAATGGATTCTGTGCTGTAAACTATGAAACACCATGTGCTGTGAGGAGCTAAGGCACATTTTATTGTGATTATACAGAGACTGAGTTGTTTATTCTGTTATTTACAGCTCTCGTAACTGTTCCTAGTGTGGGTTTCGCTACAGTCATCAAACCTCTCGTCCCAAAACATCCAGTCATTGTAACTCCACAGGTACATTAACATATTGGCTTCATCTGCTCTCTCTGTGCTCCATGCCGCGCTCTCTTTTCACTCCCGGTCTCTCTCACTCTTTCTGTCTTTTACTCCCTTCCCCCACCCCCCCCTTTCCCTCTTTTATTCCCTGACCCTCTCACTCTCTTCTCTTTTTCTCTCTCTCTCTTACTCCCTGACCCCCATTGTCACTCTCTCTCTTTTGCTCCCTAATCCTCTCACTCTCTCCTCTCTCTCTCTCTCTCTTCTACTCCCTGACCCTCACACTCACTCACACTCTTTTTTCTCTCTCTCTCTCTGTGCTGCCTGACAATCTCACTATATCTCTTGACTCTTTATTCTCTGTTTCTCACTTTATTCTCTCCACACCGCCTTGTCCCTTTCTCTTGCTCTCTTTATTCTTTTCTTCCCCCTCTCCAATTCCTTCCCTCCCGTTGATCCCCAGCCCTCTCTGTCACTCTTTCTACATTCCTAACCCTCTTGCTATCTCTCTCTTTGTTCTACTGTCTAATCCCTACCCACTCACTACACGTCTGTTAATAATAATAATAACAATAATCCTTGCATTTAATACAACGCCTTATCACGTCGTCGAGACGTCTCAAAGCGCTTCACAGGATATACTGCAAAGTGAACTGACTACATTTTGTGGACGAAACGTGGCAGCCAATTGTGCACAGCAGCATCTCACCAACAGTCGTGGATTGAAGTGACCACATCATTATTATTATTATTATTATTACTTTACAGGAAGGTGACTGTGTAGTTATGGAGAATGGAATTCTCAAGGTCAAGTTGGATTCCATGGGGCGACTGACATCACTTTTGCTCCTGAGTTCTAACAGGTACAGTGAACTACAATACAGAAACCTTACAGAAATGTTTTTGGTACTGGTTTAAAACAAAATAAATTTCAAATGTTTCTGAAATAAGTGGTGCTGTTCTTTCACTCCAACTATTCCCATTATTCTTAATTGTTGCAGTTAGCTACGCACTATTCTGTTGTTATTCCTAAAGCATTGAATCACAGAATCTTCCACACACACATGTTCATCTCTGTCTGCTTTGGATCCTCCTGGTCATGGGTTTCTGTGTGTGTCACGTACCCGGCTGCCAAAAAGCTCCTGGGAAAATATAATGTCGCCTTGATAGACAATGTTATGCAAGGTAGAATACTGTGTGATGGCAATCGGCTTGCACAAGCTATTAAAATACCTGCTCCCACCAGCAGGTTGGGTGCTTGCCCAGCCTGTGAAGCACTTTGAGATGGGTTCCCGATGGGAAAGGTGTTATATATAAATGTAAAGTGTCTTGTATGAAGAGAATGTCTTTGCCCTCCATCGCCCCAGTACTTGCCAGACTCCACTAGCTCCCAATTACCAAATAGATCGATTTTAAGATCCTATCATTTGTTTTCAAATCGTTTCATTCCCTGGCACCTCCCTCCCTCTCCGACCTGCTCAGCCCCCACTCCACCACCTGCTGCCTCCGCTCGGCTGGTTCCAGTCTCCTATTTGTCCATCGTCCCCTCCGCTCCACCATTGGTGGCCATGCCTTCAGCCACTGTGCCCCGAAACCCTATCACTCTCTCCCTCAAACCATCCGCCTTCCCCCTCCCTCCCCACCTTCAAATTTCACCTAAAGACCTTCCTTTTTGAACGTGTTTACAGTCACCTCCCCCCTTCCGTCTCCCCTTGACTCGGGGTCAGACCCATTTTCATACCCTATCAAGCTCTCTTTCTACGACCTTTGCTGCCTCCTCTGATTGCACAGTTCCCCCCAACTGTAACTGTCTTACATGGGGTCTGTGAATCCAGGTCAGTAATATATACACGGAACAGGAGGGGCCAAGTGCAGACAGACCCCTGAGGCACCCACTCTCCCCATTGTGACTGAGCTCCCCTAACAAACACCCTCGGCTTCCTTCCCTTCAGCCAATTCTGAATCCACGTCCATGTCTTGCTCTCGATACCCAGTTTGTGAAGGAGACTTTTATATGGTAGTTTGTCAAGTGACTTCTGGAAGTTTAGATACACTACATCATACGGTTCCCCCACAGTGAATTTGACCCGTCACCTCCTCAAAATAGTCTATGAAATTGGTCAGACAAGACCTAACGTTTCCGGAACCCGTGTTGGCTGTCATTTAATCAGCCAATATAAGAGTCCTGTATCTTAGTGGTTAGAGCACTTGCAAGCGAGAGGACCTGGGTTCGATTCCTGGGCAGGGTGAAATGTTGGGCAAGTTTCCTTACTCCACACACCTCCAGCAGTCAGTAGGAATCTGATTGTTAGTCGATTGGCGGATCGCTTTTCTGGGGGTAATAATCCCTTTCAAAAAATAATAATAATAATATGGTCACTAAAAATCCACGACTGTTTGTAGGACACTGTGGTGTGCAATTGGCTATTGCATTTCACCCACAAAATATACAGTCAATTTACTTTACAGTATATTCTGTGAAGTGCTATGAGACGTCTAGAAGACGTGATAAGGCACTGTATCAAATGCAACGATTATTATTATTATTACTGAGATTCAGGCTAATGGGTCTATAGTTGCGGGGTTTAGTCTTGTGCTCTCAGTCTGGGTCTGTAAAGGCTGCAGACACCGCAGGGACACAGGAAACAGTCGGATTTCCCGTACAGACCAAAACTTGCAATCGCAATGAAAGTCCACAGTGAAGGAGCTGTGGAGCCTGTGGTTTTATTTGGAAGAACAAGCAAAATGTTGTAAGTGTTTCTCTCTCCACGTCGCAGCCTCCTATGACATCAAAGTCTATGTGACTCCTTGCAGTAATGTGCGGATGTGTTACATTTTCAGGGAAACGATTCGTCAGGGTTGCCTCGGTAACCAGTTTGTCATGTTTGATGATGTTCCGCTGTACTGGGATGCCTGGGATGTCATGGACTATCACTTAGAAACAAGGTAATCTTATTAACATCAGGAGTATCATAGAATCAAAGGATATCACAGCCCAGAGAGGCCATTCGGCCCATCGTGGCTGTGCCGGTTGTTTGGAAGAGCTCCCAATCAGTCCCGCTCCCCCGCTCTTTCCCCAATTTTTTTCTTTTTCAATTGCAATTTCCCTTGCAATTTTTTTCTTTTTCAAGTATCTATCCAATTCCCTTTTAAAAGCTGGTGTTGAACCTTTTTACACCCCCTTTCAGGCAGCGCATTCCAAACCATGACAACTCGCTGTGTAAAAAAAAAAAAAAAATTCTCCTCGTCTCCCCTCTGGTTCTTTTGCCAATTATCTTAAATCTATGTGCCCTGGTTACCGACCCACCCACCAGGGGAAACAGTTTCTCCCTGTCTACTCTATCAAAACCCTCATAATTTTGAACACCTTGATTATTTAATAGAGGTGTTCAAAATTCTGAGGGTTTCGCCCACAAATACAGTCAATTCACTTTACAGCATATTCTGTGAAGCTCTTTGTGGGGTCTAGAAGACGTGATGAGGCACTATATCAAATGCAAGGATTATTATTATTACAGGGAGAAATTGTTTCACCTATTGTTAGTAGGTTTGTATTTCAGAATCTCTTCCCATGAGAAGCTGTTCCGGGGATAGGAACGCTGAGCTTCCCGCCAGGCTGCCGTGTCACAGATCACGAGTGGATTAGGTGATCCTGGCTGGACAAACAGCAGGAAGTTTGTCATTGCTTACAATGAAAAAAAGTCCATTTAAGAAGCCCATGGCTGGTCTGTGGAGCACCAAAGAGCAAGCTTTGGGACCGCAGCCAAGAGTGTGATTCCAGGACTGACCCCTTCCCCGGACCCCTGCCCCAGGTTGGCAGCCAACATCCACTGCCAGAATCCTCACACATCACCACCAATCTGCTGTCTAAACTCAGCACGAACAAAGTGTCTGCTGGAGAGGATTGTGGGTGGGTGTCGGTGAGGCCAGGATCAGGCTTGGCTGTGATGTCTTTTATCACCATATTGTCTGCCAACACTCACACAGTCTAGGTTTACAGGTCAATAATGGGACACGGTAACAGAGGGGACCAGTTCTCCAGTGGAAGTCAAAACACCTTCAGGGGAAAAGGGAGAAAATGCTGAGGGAAACCCAATCCATTGATCCTGTTATACGCTCTGTGCATAGTGATCCCAGAGCGAGTTCAAACGCAGGATTAGGTTAGACTTTCAAAGGGAGATGGATGATGAGATGAGCTGGATGATTTAAATTTCCTTTTTGCTGTTACTGTACTCTGTTAAACACAGCTCACAGGGCACAGACACTGGATAGTAGCTTTACATGCACTGTTTGCAGAACAGAGCAGGTTTGAGTCTTTGGTCAAATTCTCTGCTCCGTTATTGTGACAGGCTGTCAGGTTGATTACTGCCGTGTTTTCAATTTATTTGGGGATAAAAAGGAATGTTCTTTTTAAGTTGCTCCTGTGGATAACCTTGTGTGGTTTGATAAGGCCACCGATCAATACATTAACTCCATCAGTCTCATAATGTCTACATTGATCATTATATTACATTTATGTTTGTTGTTTCTTTGCCAATGAAACAACAACAACAACAAGATTCCATTTATAAAGCGCCTTTCACGTCAGGAGGACGTCCCAAGGCGCTGCACAGTTGGATCATGACCCGAGCAGGGGGGAAATGGTCAGGGTGAGGGGAGGGAAGGGAGGGAGCGAGGAGGGGGGAAATGGTCAGGGTGAGGGGAGGGAAAGGAGGGAGCAAGGAGGGGGGAAATGGTCAGGGTGAGGGGAGGGAAGGGAGGGAGCGAGGAGGGGGAAGAGAGTCGAGAGGGGAGCTGAAGGCACGGTCAAAGAGAAAGGTTTTGAGACCGGCCTTGAAGGAGGAAAGGGAGGAAGCGGCGAAGGCACTGGGGGATGGAGTTCCAGAGCCTCGGGGCTGAGAGGCTGAAGGCCACCGATGGTAGGGCGGTTGGGGCGGGGGACGTGGAGCAGACCAGAGCCAGAGGAACGGAGGGTACGGGCAGGTAGGTAGGGGGATAGTAGGTTGGAGAGGTAGGAGGGAGCGAGGCCGTGAATGGCCTTGTAGGTGAGGATGAGGATCTTGAAATCAATCCTCTGGGGGATGGGGAGCCAGTGGAGGCGAGCGAGGGTGGGAGTGATGTGGTCCCGAAGCCTGGTGCGGGACAGTACACGAGCTGCAGAGTTCTGAATGACCTGCAGTGTGGAGGGAGGTGGCGGGAAGACCGGCGAGGAGAGAGTTCCCGTAGTCCGGCCTTGAGGTGACAAAGGCGTGAACCAGGGTTTCAGCCGCGTGAGGGGTGAGGTAGTGCCGTAGTCTGGCGATGTTCCGGAGGTGATGGAAGGCGGTGCCAGTTGTGGTGCGGATGTGAGGGAGAAAGGACAGCTCAGGGTCGAACAAAACGCCGAGGTTCCTGACTGGCTGAGAGGTGGAGAGTGCGGCCTTGGATGCTGATGCTGTCAGCGCCTGAGGTGCGGAGGCGCTGACGTGAGCCAATCAGGAGGGCCTCAGTTTTGCGCACGTTGAGCTGAAGAAAGTTGTCTCTCGTCCAGGACTCGATGTCGGACAGGCAGCTGTCAGGACATCGGGGGTCGTGGAGTTGAGAGTAGAGGAGGAAAGGTAGAGTTGGGTGTCATCCGCATACATGTGGAAGTTAACTCCATGTCTGCGGATGATGTCACCGAGGGGTATAGAGGGTGAAGAGGAGGGGACCGAGGACAGAGCCCTGAGGGACACCACATGAGACAGTACGGGGGGTGGAGGAGAAGCCATTCGTCGAGACAAAGTGAAGACGGTGAGAAAGGTACAACATAAACCATTCAAGGACAGTGCCTTGAAGGTTGAGGTGGGAGGACAAGCGGTGGAGTAGGATAGCGTGGTTGACCGTATCGAATGCTGCCGATAGGTCGAGGAGGACGAGGAGGCAGAGGGAGCCCTGGTCACAGATGGTCAGGATATCATTGGTGACCTTGACCAGGGCAGTTTCTGTTCCTTAATTGTGTACTTCCCCTCAAAAACATACAGTCACTACACTTTACAGTATATTCTGGAAGCGCTTTGAAACGCCTTGACAACATGGTAATGCGTTATATCAATGCAAGGATTATTACTTTTATTATGTGTGCAGTGGCGAGTCATTTAAAAAAAGCAGTTTTTAACTCACAGAGTCAAGTGAAATGCAATGTCAAGTGTAATCTTTATCCATGTGCCCGGATGCTCAAGTGCAAATGGCAGAAATCCGGCCTCACGATTCACTGCCAGCTGTGGCTCGAGCTCTTCCTCACCCACAACCTCTGCCTTTCATAGGCCACAACTGACCTTTACTCCAAAGTCATCCTGGGGGCCAACAACAATCTAAAGACGCTGTTTTCCACCATCCATCGCCTCCTCCTCCCCCTCAACCACAATCACACGGATGAAGTTCACCACCTGCTGCCTCGACCCCCCTCCCCACCCAACTACTGATCACTCAACTCCCCCTCTTCTCCCCCGCTGGCCGACACGGTCAACCAGTCTCTCTGGGACCGCACTCGTATTGTTCGAGTCCTACTTAACCAACCGCCTCCATTTCATCTCGGCAAATGGTTTCTCCTCCCGCTCTCGCCCGGTCGCCTGCAGGGTTACCCCAAGGCTCCATCCTTGGCCTCTTCTTTTCCTTATATGCTCCCTCTCGTGATGTCATCCACAGACACCGGGTAAACTTCCACATATGAAACCCACATCTACTTTGCCTCCAGCACCAACTCCAGGTTCCCCCGATGTTCTATCAGCTTGTCTGGCAGACATCAGGGCCTGGATGAGTGTAAACTTCCTGCAGCTCAATATGGACAAGATGGAAGCCATACTCCTTGGCTCCCGTCAACGTCTTCACTCCTGTGGATCTGAACTCCTCAACCTCCCTGGGCTCTCACACTCACCAAACCGGTGCGCAATCTAGGCGCCCGTTTTGACCCCCAGCTGTCCTTCCTCCCCCACATCCAGTCCCTGACCAGGACCGCCTTCCTCCACTTACGCCTCATTGCCCACCTCTTACTGTACCTTATCCCAAATACAACCAAAACCCTGGTGCATGCGTTTGTCACCTCCCGCCTGGATTACTCCAACTCACTCCTCGCCGGTCTCCCCAGCTCCACCATTCACAAGATCAGCTCATTCAGACTCTGCCGTCCACATACTGACCCGAACCAAACTCCCTACCCACATCTCACTAGTTCTGGCCCAGGCTCCACTGGCTCCCTATCACCCAACAGATCGACTTCAAATGCATATTCAAATTCATTCACTCCCTGGCAAATCCCTCCCTCTCCGACCTCCTTACTTTCCAATCCACCGCCTCTGTTCGACTGGCACCGGCTCCTGCTCGTCCCTCACACCCTCCGCCCCACCATCGGAGGTCGTGCTGTCAGCCACTACACCCCGAAACTCTGGAACACTCTCCCTCAATCCCTCCGCCTTGCCCCTCCCCTTTTTCAAGTCCCGCCTGAAAACCTTCCTCTTCCTCCGTGCTTATGGCCACCTCCCCACCCACCCCCGGCTCGGAGTCAGGCTCCGCCACTGTTATAATAATAATCCTTGAATTTGATATAATGCCTTATCACATCTTCTAGACGTCTCAAAACACTTCACTGTAAAGTGAATTGACTACATTTTTGTGGGCGAAACGCAGCAGCCAATTGCGCACAGCAGAGTCCCATGAACGTTTCGCCCGGCCGGGAATCGAACCCAGGTCTCTCGCTTGTAAGGCGAGTGCTCAAACCACTGAGCTACAGGACTCCACTGTTAAGTGCTCTGAGACGCTACCCTGGGTGGAGGGCGCTATATAAGTACAAGTTGTTGTTGTTCTTGTTTATGTAATTTTGCTCATTCCATAGAATTCTGGTCGGTGAGGCACTAATCTGAGTTTGTTCACACCGCAGTGAAGTGTTAACCTCACAGTGATTTTATTTCCCCCTCTCACTGTGCGCGTTGGTTAGGAAGCCAGTCTCACAAGTGTGGAAACCGCTGGAGGTGGTGTGTTCGGGTGGAGTCAGGGGAAGTGTGATGGTGTCTATCCACATCAGTGATCAGAGTACAATCCGCCAGGAAATCATTCTGGACGCATGCTGTCCCTACCTGAAGTTCAAAACCGAGGTGAGCCAATTGTTAGTCTCTGAATGGCTTCTGTCTCCATAGAGTGACTCCCTCAGCTCAGCAGGTTCCAGACTGCTCCACGTCCCCCGCCCGGCCTGCCCCACCACCGGTGGTCAGGTCTTCTACCTTTCTTTAGAACTCCATCCCCCAGTCACTTCACCTCGCTCCCTCCCTCGCCTCCTTCAAAGCACGCCTCAAGATCCTCCTCTTCGACTTTGCATTCGGCCACCCTCCTACCCCTACCCTCCCCGCCTTCCACCCTCCCTGATCCCAGCTCCCAGCTCGGGTCCAAATCCCTGACTGTCCAGTGCCTTGGGACGTCCTCCCGATGTTGAAGGCGCTGTGTAAATGTCATTTGTTGTTGTTGTGGATTGTTTATCCATTAAAGGTGGAGTGGCACGAAGCTCACCAGTTTCTGAAGGTGGAGTTCCCCACTACAGTGCACAGTCACAGCGCCACATACGAGATCCAGTTTGGACACTTGCAGCGACCGACACACTGGAACACATCGTGGGATTGGGCGCGCTTTGAGGTACGGATAACCCACAGAGTAGGACATTGACCTGCAATCTTCCCAATGCTCACAGCTTCAGGGCTAAATAGCCTCCCAAACCCACGTTGGTATTTAGTGTGATCACACACACACACACAATACTAATAATCCTAATAGTACAGCAGTTTATCACATCGTCCTCAGAGCACTTCAAGGATTCACTATAGAGTGTAGTGACTGTGTAATTGTGGTCAAATGCAGCAGCCAATTGCACACAGCGGTGTCCTACAAACAGCCATGAAGTGAGTGACTAATTTTATCTGTGGAATTGTTGGCCTGACACCAGAAGACAGAAACTCCCTTCTCTTTTTGAATAAAGCCACGGGATCTTTAACATGCACCTAAACAGGTAGACGGGATCTTAGTTTAAAGTCTCAACTGCAGGATGACCCCTCTGACAATGTAGGACACCCCCTAATTATTGAAGCATCAATACGATAGAATTTACATTAATACAGCGCCTTTCACGTTGGAAGGACGTCTCCAAGCACTGACACTGTTGGCTGGGCACCTGAGCTTGGGTATGGGAGCCTGAGAGGGGGAAAGATGGCTGAAAATACAATTGGAGAGGTACAGCTTTATCGAGGGGAGGGAGGGATCAAGGTGGAGGGAGTCTGGAAGGAGTTCCAGAGAGCAAGGGCGGGGGCAGTTCAACACAGCAGTAGTTTTATAATGTATTGTGTTTCTCTTTACATGTTGTGATGCAAACAGCACATAGTTAATGCACTAGGAGCTTAATAACTTGCTCGTCTTCAGAGTGAAGGAGCAGAATGCTGCTCACTGCGCACTTTGCTTTGAAAATGGAGCAATTAGATTCACAAGGGAGGTGTCCTGACTTTATCTGCTTTGCAGATTATCTCCATGTCCTTTTTTCTGAAACTCCTTGAGAATTGAGCTCTTTACTGTCGGTCCTGGAGCAGCACAGAGTTACCCTGATTCTGTACTGCGTTATAGAAATAGTAATAGCTTCTCCGATGTACAGAGTGACTAAAAAGTCATAATAACTATCCTTTTATCTTAAAAAACACAAATATCATTTTTTTAAGACTTATTAGACATTGTAATAGCGTTTTGGTCACCCTGTATTTAGGCTAAATATTACCTGATGCTGTGTTTGCTTAAGGTTTCTATTTTTTCATTGATGAGACACCTCCAGTTTTGACCCAGTGCTTGTCTAACTCCATTTCTACCCTGTTCTGTCCAGATTTTTGGAAATGAAAATGTGATGAAGCATGGAACTCATCATTTACATCAAAATATATATTTTTTAAAAATTAGACCTGGAGAAAACATGTTTGTTAATCTAAATCATGCAATGCTTTGATCCAGTGCTGTAATCCAGGAGAAGCTTCTTATAGAGAGTCTTGATGATAACTTCATTGGACTGGGCATTAGCTGACTGAATAGCGCTGACTGGATCATTTCACAGTGCGAAGGAGGAATGGGGGGGAATTCTATTCACCTTGATTTGAAATCATATTTTTTTGAATCATATAATTCAAAAGAAACCTGAATTCAAAGTAAATGGTGAATGCACACTTTAAATTAGGAGGCTGAGTTGAAGCTGACTGCAGACTTTACAGCAATGATTATGATACTGATAGTCGGTATTGATACTGACACTGAACTGGAAGGAATTGTTTAAAAGGTTGAGTCAGGATTAAGCACAGTTTGAATGAAGGCACCAGTTTTTCTGGTTAAGACTTCAGCAGTTACCCCAACGCACACTCTGGGATCCCCAAGCCTTGGCTATTGCCAAGATTTAAAATAATTTCTCACAGATTCAAAATAGTCTCTAAAAGAAGCCGAGGGGAGGTGAGAAGAAATTTCTTCATGCAGCGAGTTGTTTGAATCTGGAACGCATCGCCTGAAAGGGCGGTCGAGGCCAATTCGATAACTACTTTTAAAAATGCGGTGGACGGGTATTTGAGGAGGACGGGTTTACAGGTTATGGGGAAAGGGCTGGGGAGTGGGATTGACATTAATTGCTCTATTCAAAGAGCCGCACAGACTCGATGGGCCGAATGGCCTCTTTTTTGTGCTGTATGATTCTATAATTGCCAATCTGCGCTTAATACTTTCCGGAATTAGGTAAACAGTATGTGTCCCTCCAGGGAAAGAGAGAGAGAGAGAGAGCGTATTCCATTCCAACAATCTATCTCTGGGGTTGCCATGTGTAGATGGGAGGCCTGGAATTCTCAGCTTGGTTTGGATAACCTTAAGCACAGTGATGGGTTCCCGCGTGCGTCAGACACACACACGGCTGCCCCCCGTCCCCCCCACCCACCAAAATATGAAGGCACCAGTTCCTGTTCATTCTGTAAGGCACGTTCCAGTATGTTTATCAGCTGAAACGATCAGTGCTCTGATTTTCAATAGAAATTAGTAAACTTGGTTTTAACAAGAGTGATTTCCATGCACTACATGGTGAGAAATTGTCTTTTCTCTTATAAATGGGTTTTAACTGCATTGAAGTTTAGGAGATTTACTACAGTGTCTTGTGTTTAAAGGTTGTGTTTAAACTGCTTTATATCCAGAGGGATAGATTGTAAAAGTGAGGAGGAGATGTTGAATTTATACCACACCTTGGTTAGAGCACATTTGGAGTAGTGTGTTCAATTGTGGTCTCCACACGATATAAAGATATAGCAGCAATGGCATGAGTATAGAATGAGGTTAAGAGGATGATACCACGCTTGGCAGGTTACTGCTCCCAAGATAAATGTGTGCTGCTGTGGGACTTAGTATGGTGACGGAGAGGAAAATCTCCCTCTCGTTCCCACTCTGGCCTCTCATGTCTCCCGCTCGCTGGCTGAGAGCAGCACTGTGGGGGCTGGGAGGTCAGTAGCCTGTCCTCTTACACAGGGTGAAACACAGGAAAAGCAGGGTAACAGGAGAGAGGACAATCATCCTTTCTCTTCTCACAGCAGTAACCCATTTTACTGGCACATTTGTAGGAAGCCATAAATTGATTCTTATTTTTACTTTAAATTTTAAATTACCAGGGGTTTTGATAGAGTAGATCAGGAGAAACTGTTTCCTCTGGTTGGTGGAGTAACCAGAGGACATAGATTTAAGATAATTGGCAAAAGAACCAGAGGGAGATGAGGAGGCATTGTTTAGCCCAGAGAGTTGTCACGGTCTGGAATGCGCTGTCTGAAAAGGTGGGAACAGATTCAATACCAACTTTCAAAAGGGAATTGGAGAGGAAGTTGAAGAGGAAAAATTTGCAAAGATTTGGGGAAAGAGTGGGGGAGTGGGACTGATTGGGTCGCTCTTCCACAGGCACGATGGGCCGAATGGCCTCCTTCTGTGCTGTAATATTCTATGATTCTATTTCCTAGGTCTGGGGGCACAAGTGGGCAGACTTGTCGGAGCATGGCTTTGGTGTGGCGTTGCTCAATGACTGCAAATATGGCTACTCAGTGCACAGAAACACAATGGCACTTTCACTGTGAGTATCTGCAGCTCAGGGTCATTGTGGATTATTAAAGTAAGAATAATAAATGTGGAGGAGAATTCAGCCGTGCTGGTGTAGATGTGCGGTCTTTGTGTGACCAGATGCTAAACTGGATATTAAAACATAGTGAGACACCAGGGAATCACGGTGACAACAGGCACTTGTGTACTTTCAGTTGTACAGTCCATAAATCCCAACCTGTATTGCAGTGTGATCACTGGTCAGTGCTGGCATAGAAACAGGAGGAGGCCATTCAGCCCCCCGAGCCTGTTCCGCCATTCTATAAGATCATGGCTGATCTGTACCTCAGTCCAATTACCTGCCCTTGCCCCGTATCCCTCAATACCCTGACCTAACAAATATCTATCCAACAACACATTACATTTACACGGAGCCTTTCATGTCCGGAGGATGCCCCGAAGCGCTGGACAGTCAGGGATTTAGACCTGAGCTGGGGGTTGGGATCAGGCCGGGTGAAGGGCAGAGGTAGGAGGTTGGCCAATGGTACTACCAAGTGAGCAAGGCTGACACCTGAAGTATATAATACCAACAATAATAATATGGGCATAATAGAAGCGTATATGCACTGTATGGTTGGGATAGAACTTGCCAAGGGATCTAACCAATTCCTTGCTCATCACGTCAAAACAGTGAGAGAGCAAAAGATCAGGAAGCTGGGCTATATTGTGAGATCAGGAGTCATTTAAAGACATTTAAATAATAGCTGATGTGCAGGGGGTATGTATTTTGAAAAGGTGAGATTAAAGGGCCGAAGGGCCTTCTTTATCCGATTTTTCTGAGTCTTCAGAAAACATTTCTGTGCAGCGAGGCAACAGCTTTTGATAATATCCACCTCAATCTTTTAAGATGATGCCCCTTGTTCTGGATTCCCCACCAGAGGAAACAGTTTCTCTGTATCTACCCTAGCGAATCCCTTTATTATTTTATAAACCCCATCTTTCTGTATGTATGAACACACTGCCCAGTGGTGACCCGATGAACCTGAGGCCATTCTGGTCCTCGGCAGCAACTGTTTGTAATGTTACGTATGTGTGACAGGTTACTAAAGCTGGAGGAGCAGTGTCGATTGTTTGGATAAATAAATGTCGGCAACCACATCCCAACTAAACCCTGACCCTGAGTTATAACGAAGGCTCTACTCCATGATAATCCATCGCCATTGCCGTGATCTGCTATTTGTTGTCTTGCTGCGTCTTGGGACGTCCTCCTGACCTGAAAGGCGCTATACAAATATAATTTTGTATTGTATTGCAGACTGAGAGCTCCAAAAGCACCAGATGCCACTGCTGATCTGGGACATCATCATTTCACATATGCCATCATGCCCCACAAAGGTAAAGGCTTAACTTACCAATATGTAAGGAAACAGACGGTGGAAGCAGAAAATATTGTTTATTTCAAGAACAAAAGAGATCAATTTCTGCTCGAAAATAATATCTGGGGATACAGTTTGTAGTTTGGGACACGACATGTCAGCAATTGCCAGGATGGTGGAAGGAACTAGATGGACTTTGGTCTTCTTTTGCCAGCAAATTCTTATGTTCTTACGTATTTTAGAGCTAGGTATAATGCAGATGGTATTTAAATAAAGTTTACTGAGAATGGGCTGAGCTGTACAGTGGACAGGGAAGGCTCATGATATGAGTGGAGCTTTGCATTTGCTGTTTGCATTGTCTAATTAGGTCCTGTGCAAAATCTCAACACAAAATGTGTTCACTTACACAAGGAGACTGAATTTTCAACTAATTATATTCCAAACATACCCAGAAACATAGGAACAGGAGGAGGCCATTCAGTCCCTCAAGCTTGTTCAGCCATTCTATAAGATCACAGCTGATCTGTACCTCAAGTCCAATTACCCGCCATTGCCCCGTATCCCTTGATACCCTGACCTAACAGATATCTATCCACCTCGGTCTGGAATATGTGAATGGATCCGGCCATATTCCACAGCCCTTTGGGGGAGAGAGTTCCAGATTTCCACTGCCCTTGGAGGAAAAACTGCCTCCTGATTTTACTCCGAAATGACCAGGCTCTAATTTTAAAGATTATGCCCCTTGTTCTGGATTCAACCACCAGAGGAAATAGTTTCTCTACAAGTGACATTTTGTTCTGTTCACTGGATTTCTCATCTCTCCTCTTGTTCTTTACTTTGTTTGCTCTGTGTCTGCTGCTAATCCAGAGATTTGGAAAGTGTGTAGAGTTGATTTTATCCACACAAGTGACCAATAATAATGCTCTTCTACACAGTTTCTCACAGCTTCACACATTACCAGTGTATTCACAGAAAATAATGAACTGTGTTCAGCCCGACGGCAACTTTCATATAACACAATACATTTCAGTACAGTAATAAAAACAGAAGACACTGGGAACTCTCAGCAGGTCAGGCAGCATCTATGGAGAGAGGAAAGTGAGTTAACGTTTCAGGTCAATGACCAAAGACACTCAGCAGGTCAGGCAGGTAACCTGAAACATTAACCCACTTTCCTCTCTATAGATGCTGCCTGACCTGCTGACATGTTCCCAGCGGCTTCTGTTTTTATTTTAGATTTCCAGCATCTGCTGTATATTTCAGTACAGAACTTGGTTCCTGTTTGTACATTTGCGAAACTTACTGGACTATTGTGTGGCAATGTGACCATTAACAAAGCTCACCACCACACTGCACGTTCCTCTATTGCAGTAACTGTCCTTCACTGAGGATATTTAATGACAAGCTGTGATACTGCTCTTTCTTGTGGAGCGGTGTAGCACAGTTAGTGTGGGTCTGGCATTAAAAATGACGAGATTCTTTTCCTAAACGCAAAATACTGCAGATGCTGGAAATCTGAAAACAGAAACAGAAGTGGCTGGGAACACTCAGCAGGTCAGGCAGCATCTATGGAGAGAGGAAAATGAGTCAATGTTTCGGGTCCATGACTCTATTCTGATGAAGGGTTGTGGACCCGAAACGTTAACTCACTTTCTTTCTGTATAGATGCTGCCTGACCTGCTGAGTGTTCCCAGCGGCTTCTGATTCTCTTCCTATATTGATTGCAGAGTTAAGGCACACTGTCTGGAGGGGTACCAGAATGGCTGTTACTGTTCAGGGTATATTGTTCCCTGTGAAGCGCTCATTGACATCAACTCAATGTCCACACTTGAGCTGGAGGTGTGGATTTCAACTCATTTGATGAGTTTTAGAATCACGTGTGTGTGTTTGTGAGCTGGTTAACCCACCGCATGGGATCGTTCTCCTTAGAGCAGAGAAGGTTGAGGGATATTTAATAGAGATGTTCAAAATTATGAAGCGTTTTGATAGAGTAAATCAGGAGAAACTGTTTCCTTTGGTTGGTGGGTCAGTAACCAGGAGACATAGACTTAAAAATTGGCAAAAGAACCAGAGGGGAGACGAGGAGAAATGTTTAGCCCAGAGAGTTGTCACGGTCTGGAATGCACTGCCTGAAAGGGTGGAAACAGATTCAATACCAACTTTCCAAAGGGAATTGGAGAGGAACTTGAAGAGGAAATATTTGCAAAGATTTGGGGTAAGAGCGGGGGAGTGGGACTGATTGGGTCGCTCTTCCACAGGCACGATGGGCCGAAAGGCCTTCTTCTGTGCTGTAATATTCTATGTTACTGCCTATCTGGCAACACCTGAGTCTGGGAAGAATCCATCACACTCTGTTGCCTGCCTAAGTGTGTGCTGTGTTTCTGCCACAGGTTCTTTCCAGGAGGCTGGTGCCATTCAGTGTGCTTACAACATCAACTACCCTCTGCACATTGTCCCTGCTGACCCCAACCTCAGCACGCCCAGCTCCTGGAGTGCCTTCTCTGTTCAGTCTCCTGCTGTCATTCTGGAGACTATTAAACAGGTAAATTGTACAAATGTCAGTTTTTGAATCGATCGATGTTGGCCGGCAGGGCTGGGAGCACAGCCTGGCTGTCAGAGGTGCTGGCTCTTCAGATTGTTTGAGATGTGAAATTGTTCTAGTGGCTGTTCAACCAAACTGACCCTGTTTGAAAAATCCTCCAGATTAATTAGTGGATCCCCACCTGTTTGCGGAACATCACGATGTGTGCAAATTGGTGGCTGTGATTGCCCACAAATACACAGTCATTACACCTAATGGTAATTATAGTGAAGCACTTTGAGATGTTTGGACACTATAGGCAGTACAATACATATTTACAGTGTTGTTCACAGAGGACATCCCACAGCACATTCACAGAGCTGGCTGGGGTCGGGAGCTGAGGGGAGCAGGGAGGGGAAAGGTGACCGAAAGTACGGTCAAAGAGGTAAGTTTTTAGACAAACTTGGAACAAGGGGAGCCAGGGAGCGAGTGGGAGGGGCTCGGGATGCAGTTTCAGAGAGTGGAGGCTCCATGGCTGAGCTGATGGTGGGGTGGTTAATCTTGCTGCTTATTCAGCCTAGGAGGTGGCGAGTTCTACTGCAGCAGGACCTATTAGCCAGGAGCCAGCAAGCACTGTCCCTGCTTCACAGGAGAAGATACAAACCTAGTCTAATGGCTCTCTTGTGGAAATGCACAGAAGTATTATTCTGTGCCTCATTAGTTAAGCGCTGGCAGTGTTTTTTAGGAGGCGCTGTGGACAGGAAGATGGTGGCAATGATCTCACATTTCATGCTAAGCTGTGTTGCCCACTTAAGAAGCTTGCAGAGAGTTCCTGGTACCTGCCACCCACCCAGTGAGGGCTCAAACCCATGCTTGTTAGATGTCAAATGACCAACTACTGACTGTGGAGGGGGGGATGTGGGTGGAAGGCAACCGGTATCATCTTGGAGCTAAACAGGCTCTAAGGTGACATGTTTGGACCCCCCACTTTAGCGGTCTCTAGACCAGTTCCTGAGCAAGGAGGGGCCACAGTATTCCAGGGCACTCACTGCTGATGACAACACAGTCCGGCCCGGCTCATCAGCAGGACCTGAGGAACTGAAAGGGCCGACCAGGACCTGAGGACCTGAAAGGGCCGACCAGTCACTGGGGACAGAGAATCCTCCTCCTCAGCTCCTGGTAACCCTGCAGCCAAAGCCCTAACAGGTAGGGTGGGCCTAACTGGACAAGCAGTGGGAAAGCCTGCCAGTGGTGCTCTCAATGACAAGCTATGTGGGTTTAGCTGGTTAGACTCCAGCGGGTATCCCAACACACACTCTGGGGTCCCCAAGCCTTCGCTCTTGCTAACCTGTGCCTAATACTTTCCAGAATTAGGTAAACAGCAATCATCCCTCCAGGAGAGAGAGTGCACATTCCATTCCCAAGAAATCTCTGAAATTTCCATGTGTAGGTGGGAAATTCTGGTTTGGATGTTCTTGAGCATGGTTTCCGATGTTTCAGATACTCACTCACTGACCAAAAAACAAAGTAGATTTTGTTAACCACAAGAAGTCAAGATAGTTAGTTTTCATCTGGTTTTGGTGCCACAAATGGACATGTTGGTGATATATTTGGTATTTGTTTGTGCAAGTCACTGGGAAACAAGGGGCTGAAGGAAAAGGGGGAAAAAGAGGATAATGTTCAATGAGAGCAGCTATTTGTACTGTCAGCCCCCGCCCCCCCCCCCCCACCCTGGGGACAGCTGAGCCTCCTGTAGGAGGAACAAATCCTTGGTCACTTTCTCTGCTGTTTGCGTTGTTCTAGGCTGAAGAGAAGGACAATGTGCTGGTGGTCAGATTGTATGAAGCACATGGTAGCACAGTGGTCACATGGCTACATACTGCAGTTCCAGTTAAAGCAGCAATCTGGTAAGTGATGACACTCTTCTCCAATCGGACGGTGTCTGTCACTGAGAGACATCAGAGCCCTGTCTAGCTGCAGCTACAAGGAAGGTGACATCACAACAATAACCCTGTCTGTCCCACCTGCTCTAGTGTCATTGCTGTATCAGATTGCAGTAGATTCATCACAGGGTGGCCCGCCCTGCCTCATTTTCTTTTCACAATAGGCGAGACCCACATGTTAGTTTACTGCACCACTAACAGCAAATGACATTTACGCAGCCCAAGGCACTGGACAGTCAGGGATTTGGACTCAAGATGGGGTTTGGGATCAGGAAGGGTAGGGATAGGAGAGTGGCCGAATGTGTGGTAGAAAAGGAGGGTCTTGAGACATGCTTTGAAGAAGACGAACGAGGGAGCGAGGCAAAGGGACTGTGGGATGGAGTTCGAAAGGATGGGGGCAGAGAAGCTGAAGGCCCGACCGTTGATGGTGGGGTGGGCCAGGCGCGGGATGTGGAGCGGCTGCTGAGTGGACGGAGAGGACAGGTTGGTTTGGGGTTAGCAGGCACAGCCCTGTGCTCCCAGCTAGTTACCAAATTAATTCACTGAAGGTGGCATTGCTGACTGGGTGACAGGAGTCCCTGGGGACATGGTTAGTTCCAAAAGTCTCTTGCCGGAAAAACTGAGAAAAAAATGAGAATTGAGTTGCAAAGATCCTGCAGTGAAGACAATTCCACTAAACAACAACTTGCATTTTCACAGCCCCCCCCCACACACAGGGTAGCATCAGCGCTGACAGTGGCAGAGCACGGCACTGAGCTGATGGGGCAGGAGGTGACCATAGGTGAGGAGCTAACATGCTGGTCCTGACTGAGAACTGAAGTCACTTACTGCCTCCGTCATTTACATTTGTTCCAGTGAATAACCATTTTCCCAATTAAAGCTATCTAACACCCCAGTCACGAGTGACAGATTGTAAACGTTTGGGTTTCCTCGGCAGGTGTGATCTTCTTGAGCGGCCCTTACCTGGGGAGCCTGTGCGAGCCACTGACTTTCAGATCGAGATGTCTTTCACTCCATTTCAGATCCGCTCTCTCCTGCTCACCCTCTGATGTGTTCCCACAGACTTACTTAATGAGCTTACCTGATGTGATGCCTCTTTAGAATATCAATGAAATAGTTTCAAATGAATCCCAATCAAGCAGCACAAATCTCCACCCTGGAATCAGGCTGCAGAAATGTAAGTGTACAAGCACCATTTGCAGAGCCAGTGGTTTGACCCAGGCAAGGCCCTTTTACATGTGTGGTGTGAGTGTGTGCGTGTGCTATGTGACCAGTTTGATCCAGAACAAGCCCAGCACTGCAGGGAACAGGTGAGGCTGAGGACTGCAATGCATAGAAGTGAATCAGATAATTGCACTGTCACCCACCTCGCTCCCTCTCACCAATTGCTCCAAACAAGCAGCTGGGTTCGAAGGCAATATCAAATCCAGCCTCTTGTTGAAGGTTTTTAATGCAGGTCGATTATGGGGGGTGGGGATAAGATGGTAAGACAGAGATCAACATGCTGTGGTAACCCAGGCTGCCCCTCGTGTAGGGGCCACACACACCATTTCCAATTTGGTATCAAATTGAAGTCCTGCTGTGATCCAGCTTTATATCTGGGTCAACTACCCACCTTCCCTCCTGAAGGTCAGAAGCTGCTTCCCTTCAGCTGTTCTGTTGAAACCATATAATAGGATTCCTTCATTCTCTCTGTTTGGAAGGAACCAAACTCCCACAGTTTGCCTCATTTACATCTCATTGCGGCATCTATCCATCTGAGTGCTGTGCCAGTCTGCAGTGTGGAGATGTGCTGGAAAGCAAGGTGACACTGTGCACGTACACACTACACTGCTCAGCACAAGGACCGTGTCCTTATTTCAAAGTCCCACTGCAGAGTGAGTGCTTGGTAAACGTGGTTCAGTTTAGGTGATGCCCTAACTACCGCATGATTTAACACAAATGAAATACTAATTCAAGTAAGGGTTACAGATCAGATTGCTGCTCCTTTAAATATCCCCCTGGCAGCTTGTAACTTGGTACTGCACGTGCAGACAGACAGCGAGGGGCCAACCAGGCAGTGATTTTGTATTCACTGCTCACATTGCAATCCCTGTCCACTTGCTTTTCCCACCACTGACTGGAGCTGGTCCAGTTGTCACTTGCTCACACGTGCTGCCACCACAAGGCATTAGCCTCACTGTTTAGCACTAGAGTCCAACATCGATATAGCATTTTGCTGAAAGCTGATTTTCGGCTCCCATCCTGATAACACTCACATTCCTTTTTACTCAATTTCTGCCTGTTCTGATCTGTCGGTTTTGTCAAACAAGATGGATATAAAACGACACTGTTCGCATTGGGAACCAAGGTGTATTTAGTAATCAAATGTAGACAGAAGTCTGAAAAGCCACAAAGCTAATCTATGCAGTAAGTGTCAGCTGTCCCATTGATAACAATGTCAACCATGGCAGCTACATAAAGCTGGAGAAATAAAAATACTATTTAAAGAGATGGCAGCGCATAGTAGTTTCCCCAATCAGCCAAACAGCTGGTGCAGGGTCCAATGCTGCGTACTGTACTAAAGTGTCCCATAGGATTATCTCACATGTAACAAACGCGGGAGCCAACGGCAATTGTCCTTGTTAGAGAGGCCGAGCAGCCCGCCCGAGCCCCAGCTATTGCCGTCACTCTCAGTTACAACACCAAGCTTCACAACCAACTGCTGCCAGGTCTCACAGCTCTCTCTGTTCCGTAATGGACCAATGCTTTTCTGGAAGATTGTAAAATGTTGTAAGATTATAAGTTGACCTTGACTCACATTTTAATAATTTAATAAATTTTCTTTTCAAAAAAAATTGTGCTCCAGTTACACAGCTGTGGCTCTGCTCTTTGTGTCCTGACACACACACAACATAAAACAACACACACACAAACAACATAAAACACACACACCACACACACAAACAACATAAAACACACACACACCACACACAAACAACATAAAACTACACACACACCACACACACACAAGCTCCTGGGTTTTGATACGATTTATGTCTGCAGTGGAACAACAGTGAAGCGAGTCCCCAATATTACAAAACTTAACATTCATTGTGAAGGATTCCTTTAACTAAAGAGGAATTACCTAAACAAAATTAAACTGTTTAAATGTCTGCAATAGCGACTTCCAGCTCCTCCCCTTACAATACACAAGATAGTTAATATACATAAAATGTTGGGAAGATTTTCTGAACCTTTATATATGAAAACATACCACAGTACAGGAAAAAAACGAATATCTTAGGTGAGTATTTCCATAAGTTTGAACAGAAATAACAGATATGTACATCTCTGCATTTGGTATAACCTAAGTATTATTCGGATAAAAGGGCAATATAGTAATTATAATTACATGGACATCTTTCTCAGAAGAAATAGTAATCGGCTTGTTGTAGCACTCGGTAGCACTCAACTCTCGAGTCTGAGTTTGTGGGTTATAAGCTTCTCATCAGGACTGAGCTCAATCTCGGCTGACACTTCAATGCTGGGGAAGCACTAAATGATTGGGTTTTGTCTGCCTGTTCAGGTGAATGCTAAAGATCCCAAGGCACTGTTCAAAAAGAGAAGGGAGTGTCTCTCCGGAATTCTGGTCAACAACAAGAAGATTACATTTGTATAGCGCCTTTCACATCGGGAGGACGTCCCAAGGCACTATACAAACCCCCAGATAAAATCAGTCATTCCCTTCACGGCTGTGAGACATTGCTGTGTGCTGCGTTTGTCCACAAAACACAGTCAGTCACTCCACTTTAGAGTAAATCCTGTAAAGTGCTTTGGGGTGACCTCCCAACATGAAAGGCGTTATTCCAAATATAAGGATTATTAATACTATTAATAACACAAGTGAAAGGTTTGCAAAAGCGGCAGACATATATTCAAAACATTTCTTCCGCATCATCACATCAAAAATACAGCTTTAGTTTTTTTTCTGCCAGGTGTCCAAGACACCACAGATTTTATGAGTTTCATGCGACTAAACAGGTCACCAATATCCCATCAGCAACTAGTTTACTTGAGAGTCACAATACAAGTTGGCTTAGTTGATGAGTTTTTTCAACTTTCTGTTTCTTCCAGATGATATTTTTGTTGCTTCAACAGTGTCCAAACTGGTAGCAGGCCAAGATCAACCACTGCCTGAAAGCAGGACATGTGAATACATCAGCAAGATATTATGTGTATATTTCATCCACAAAATATACACTCAATTCACCTTATAGTATGTCCTGTAAAGCGATTTGAGACATCTAGGAGACATAAGGCGCTATATCAAATGGAAGTATTATTATTACTCACAAACCTGTTCAGATCAGGTTTAATTTTGGTCATACCTCCAGACCAGACTGGTCATATCTCTTGGTACCTGTCATCTGTTTTATTTTGTCAACAACTGGACAGAGTTTTGTGAAAGGTGATAAACTTGGATTAGTTTTGTTATTTTAAGAGTAAAGAAATCCTAGCAGCCGGTTTGCACGTCAGCAACACGGTTTAGGAATTAGCGATGGCTTCATCGCACTCTCCCCACCCAGCTGGATCCTCTGACTTGAGAAGTGATCAAAATAGTGAGCGAGAAATGCACACATTTTCATTTATTTAGAAGAATATGTTACATTAGACATTACATTACTGCAAATGACATAAGAAAACTCCTGTAGACTGCTCACCAATTAGAATGAGGAATGACTATGATTAGAAAATGAGACTTTCCCCAATGACTGAAAGGACAAAGACACTGCGGTGTGATGGACACAGCCCCTGCTCGTTCAACCTTACCATTCTTCAACTACTTTTAGAGAGACGTTGCTGGCCTTCAAGAGTTTCAGCTAATCAAAATCAAACCAGTACCAGTGGTGACGTAAAGCAGGTTGTCTTAACACCCCATCATAGCCACACAGAATGGATGGAGTAAGTGATCCACTGGTAAAGGTGTTTTACACAGAAATTCAGGAGACAAACCATTGTGATGGCAAAAGATGCTCCCATTCCCATTGCCACCAGTTATCCTGGCCACAGCACAGAGCCCCTGACCTGCCCTCGCTAACGTGCACTCCAGCCGCTGACACTGGCTGAAACATTGTAGTAAATTCACTCAATGACAATGACACCAGCATTACACAAACCATTTGCCGCCTTTAATTTATGGCTCTATAAATAATTACATTACAGCTTTAATACTGATGTTTTCAAGAAATTCCATAGGAATTTTTTGAGAAGACTGTAGGATTTTTTTTATTTTTTAAAAAATAGTTTGCCTTCTTTTCCCAACATCGGTGTCTGACAGACTGTTTAAGCTGTAGTGTTCCTTTCCTGAGGCCTGTAGAGCCCAGATCTGAATTTTCCAAGACAAGGCAGCAATTCATCCCTTTTATAAAGAGATTTCAGAATCCGACTCCAGTCGTTTGCCTCCTGTTGCTCCTCGGTACTAATCCCGTGCACAGGGATCAATAGTCTGCTGATGTTTTCAGAAATTGGTTCATCAGTCCTTCAATTACAGAGGTTACACTGTGTAGACAAGGGCTGAATGTCACTCAATTGTGTTCTCGCCCTCGCTCAACACTGACCTAGTTTATCATCAATTTTTTTTTGCTAATTCCTATACCCAGCCAAAACAGCTCGTGACAGGAGGGACAGAAACAGCAATAGCTCAAAACTCATACCTGACAAATTGTTCCAAAGGCTCACTCACTCTCTCCCCCCCACCCCCCACCCCCCACGTAGAATTTCCCTACCACAGTGAGCTCAGTGCAGACCAACATCATTGCCAACGTGTAATGTAAACTGACTAAACTATGGGAGCCAGGGATGGCGGTGCAGAAGGCAGCTGGTGTCTCAAACAAGCCGCATCTTTTTGGCTACAGTTGTGTTGGCGTTGGCTGGCTCTCGGGACCCCTCACACGTCATTTAATACTAACAATTACTCAGCAGTTTAACCATTTATCAATGTAACCAATTGATCCTGGAAATTGGTCTTGGCAAAGGCCTAGGAGCCCCCCAGCCATCCAGTAGTTCCAGGCTAACAGATGCCAGTGGCTAGCCCTAGCTTCCTACAAGCTACTTGCCCCCTTGGTCTGGCTGCCCCCTCTGATAGGACGATCAAGTCCCAGGGTCCTGCACCGTCTAAACACAGCTTACTCCTCGATGACTCACAGAGGCGGCTACAAATGGCAATGTTATAACAGTGAGAGGTGAGATGAAATGGATGGATGGACTACTTGAAGACTGCTTTGATGTCACAGCTACATTGAGGAAGGGTCTGAGCAGCTGGTGCCCCCCTTCCCAATGTCAAAGGTCTGATTGCTTCAGTTTTCATGCTAAGGTGCTGAGATGCGCACTACAGAGAATGTGGTCTTCCATCAGGACAATGAGACTCGCTTCCATCTTGTTGCTGCTCCATGAAAAATACTCTGGAAGAGAAGCAGACGACCATTTGAACCAGAGGGGAGATGAGGAGCATTGTTTAGCCCAGAGAGTTGTTACGGTCTGGAATGCGCTGCCTGAAAAGGTGGGAACAGATTCAATACCAACTTTCAAAAGGGAATTGGAGAGGAACTTGTAGAGGAATGATTTGTAAGGATATGAGGTAAGAGCGGGGGAGTGGGACTGATTGGGTCGCTCTTCCAAAGAGCCGACACAGGCACGATGGGCCGAATGGCTTCCTGTGCTGTGATAATTCTATGATTCTATTCTAACGATCAGTGGCCTGAAGCGAGGCTGGGGATCCTGGCACCAACACACCTCATTCTGAGCTGATGGGGAGCAGTTTATAGTCAGGGAAAGGTTGTGCAACTAAACAATTCTGACAATACAAGATTTAGAACCTGACATTGTGTGTTGGCAACTAATCCCTCTGGAGAGAAGAGAGTGAGTTAATGCTTCAGATCGACGACCTGAGAGCACGCGTAAGAACGCAAGAGAGAGAACACAAGAGAGAAGGGATGACATTCATTGCTGTAGAGCTGACAGACTGAGAGCCAGTCACAATGGAGAGCCAGCCTCACCGGCCAATGGGCATGTTGAAGCGTTGCTAAATGTTCCTTCGCCCCCACGTGCGGACCACGCTGCTCGTGCTGTTCCTGTTGTCGTCATCATCTCCGGCCTCCTCCATCTGTCAGTCAACCAGAGAGACCGCTAGTGTCTGGTCACTTCCGTTTCACAAAGATATTCCAGGACCTACCCAAGCCTGGAGACTCATCTCCTCTGGGTTACTCCTTGTGCCCCTCCCGCACCCTCGAAAGTAGAGTCTTGTAGCTCAGTGGTTAGAGCACTCGCCTCGCAAGCGAGTGGACCCGAGTTTGATTCCCGGGCAAAGTGAAATGTTGGGCAAGTTTCCTTACTCCACACGCCTGTTTACCAGCAGTGAGTAGGAATCAGTTAACAGTCGATTGGCGGTTTGGTTTTCCCAGGGTAATAATACCTCCCCACCCACCCAAATTTTTATTTAAAAATGTGGTCATTCAATCCATGGCTGTTTGTGGGACGCTGCTGTGCACGATTGGCTGCCACGTTTCACCCACAAAATATATAGACAATTCACTTTACAATATATTCTGTGAAGCGCTTTAAGACGAGAGGGGGAATGGGGGTGGAGGGGGGGGGGCAGAGGAGGGTGGAGACTGGGGAAGGGGGCGTGGAGATGGGGGAGAGAAGGATATCCAAACAATCTTTTCACAGTATAAACACTCCCGACCATGTTCTTACCTCTTTTCTCCACCTCAGCTCACACAGAACTCGCTCAAAACACTCGTGCATGTAGTTAAACTGTTGAGAAAAAGAAACACATCAATACAACAGCAATCCATAGGGTCAGCATGTGCAAGCTGGGGGAACAGGTCTCAGTACAGAGAAGCTGATCTCATCTGCTCCTGTCCTCATTTTTTCCTTTAATTTTCTTTCCCCACCCCCTTCTCTGTGCGTCCTTATAAACTGCTCCCTTCCAACACCGACCAGTGACCAGTTCTGACCAAAGGTCATTGACCTGAAGCGTTAACTCATTTTCCTCTCTCCATAGATGCTGCCTGACCTGCTGAGTGATCCCAGCCACTTCTGTTTTTATTTCAGATTTCCAGCATCTGCAAGATTTTGCTTTTTATAATATAGACAGAATTTGCCAAGAGGGAAGCTGAGAGATCTCAGAGTGTTAGTTGACTCATCACTCGCTGTGTCAAAACAGTGAGGCAGCAATAAATATGTGAAACAGGAAGCTGGGCTGTGTTGCTATATCAGCTGGGTTCAGATCCCAGACATTATACTCAGGCTCTGGACAGACCTTCAATTGCCGGCAGGTCAGGGCGAAACCTTGGGCAAGTTTCCTTACTCCACACAGAGCCTAATAATAATCCCTTCAAAACCAAAAACAATAATAAATTGGTCATTTTCAATCTACAACTGTTTGTGGGACATTGCTGTGCGCAATTGGCTGCCGTGTTCGCCCACAAATATACAGTCAATTCACTTTACAGTGTGTTCTGTGAAGCGCTTTGGGACGTCCTCCCGACGTGAAAAGCGCTATATTAAATGCAAGGATTATTATTATTATTAATACTTAAATACAGTTCTGGTCACTGTGACATAAAGGATCTGCCAAATCCCTCGAGGCAGTGCAGGGGAGAGCAACAAGGCTGATCCCTGGTGTGACAGGAATGAGCTGAGGGCAGCCCATGGAAGGATCTGAATGAATGTGAGATCGAGGATCTTGAACTGGATCCTCTAGGGGATGGGGAGCCAGTGGAGCCGGGCGAGGAAAGGGCTGCAAAATTTCTGTAGGAACACGTCTCAATACAGATAAGGAACCACATGTAGGAAGTAAGACTGGGAACTACAAGTAATAATATCGCCTTCTTTTATCTTGCTGGAAATCTGAAATAAAACAGAAGTGGCTGGGAACAATCAGCGGGTCAGGCAGCACCTATGGAGAGAGGAAAGTGAGTCAACGTTTCAGGTCGATGACCTTTGGTCAGAACTGGGGGGATATTGGAAGGGAGCAGATTATAAGGACAAGCAGAGAAGGAGGCAGGGGAAGATAAAGGAGGCAGAAAGATAAAGGAAAAAAAATGAGGTGGAGGACAGGGGATGATGAGATCAGAGGTTTTGATGGTCAAAAGGCTGTAGCCTACGTAGGGAAGAGTTGGGAAGTCCGGCAAGCAGAGGCAAGCCTGGACGTCATAAAAACTGCAGGTTTATGGGCTCAGGAAATGCGGAGCTAGGGAAACATCTGGATAGGCAACTCACGTAGGGAGTGAAGATTTTCACCCAGCGCGGTTTCTTTTCACCGCGGATGTACTCAAAGCAGAACGCCATTCCCTCCTCATCTGTGTCCCACTGGTGCATTTCATCCCATTCAAACATGATCACCTGGTTCTGTGCAAACAAACAGCCAGCGTCAGCATCCAACTCAGGACGCCCAGCTCCACAAAGCAAACGCCACTGCGTGGGCAAGTCAAATCCTCTCTTTACTAATCCACAGAATGGCTCAGCCCATGGGTAGGGAGGACAGAAGGACTATATTACAATACAAGCTTACATTACAATACCAACTTATGTTTATAGAACGCTCTTCAGGCCTTGGAGGCACTGAATCGGCAGCTGTGGCGCATGCCATGATGAGCCCGAGGGTGGGGGGGATGGTGGACAGGAGGGTAGGAGAGAAGTAGTGAGTGGGAGTAATGTAGGACATGGGATGAATGTGGGGTATCTTGAGACTACAACCTAGAATATACCCCCCACCCACACCAACAACCACCACCGAGTGCTAGATGTGTGGAACAGATAATCAACAAAAGTAGCTGATTAACTTAGTCATCAAAGACTTGGTTGAGTAGCATCAATGAAGGATTCTCAGGGTCATCCTATTCCTTACATTTCAGAGATTATCATGTCACAACATCTCAATTTGCTTTGAAATGCAGTGATTGTGGGTGTGTAGGCGAACATCTAATTTGCGAGCAACAACCTTCCACAAACATCCGAACAACAATTTTATCTGGGGATTGTTGGCCAGGACACCAGGAGAGAGAAACCCTCTTCTCTTTTCAATGGTATCTTTAATGTCCACCTGAACAGGCAGACACGACCTTGGTTTAACAGCACATCAGAAGGACCACAAGCTCAAAGTCCCAGATGTGGGGTTTGAACCCATAACCTTCTGAGCTGAGGTAAGTCTCCGAGATGCTGTCCGGCATAAGGAGTGTTATATAAATGCAAGTTGTTGTTCTAAGTGAGCCAGACTGCCATCTAGCAGAGGTGCAGATGAGATGAACAGAAGTTGTTCAGGGTGAGTTTATGATGGGGCCATGGGGGTGATGGCAAGAGCAACGAGGGAATAATGCTGCTGTCAGCGCCAGGTGAAGGCTCTAGTTTCTGCTCATTTTACTTTGGGGTCGAAGACCTAGTCATCGTCTTGTTGTGCGATTATTGTTGGACGGTTATTGGAAGAGGAGCTGCCCCACAAAGAGCTGTTTGACTCAGAGGCACGGTTGCATTGTGTGCTGGATAGGCACATCTCCCCCACCCGGGCACACACCTCCCCCACCCAGGCACGCGCGCGCGCACACACCTCCCCCAGCACGCACGCTCGCACACCTCCCCCAGCACACGCACCTCTTCCAGTACACGCACGCACCTCCCCAGCAAAAGCACGCGCGCACACCTCCCCCAGCACATGCACGCGCACCCACCTCCCCCAGCACACGCACACACACCTCCCCCAGCACACGCACGCGTGCACACCTCCCCCCAGCACATGCACGCGTGCACACCTCCCCCCAGCACACGCAAGCGCGCACACCTCCCCCCAGCACATGCACGCACACCTCCCCCCAGCACACGCACGAGCGCACACCTCCACCAGCACACACACACACACACCTCCAGCTGCCCATCCTCGGTGCAGGCGTGAAGTTTAAAGTGCTGAATGCTGATGGCCGCCATGACATGGCCCTTCCTGCGAGAGTCACAGCGACAATGTGGGAAGACGATCTGATTGTAGCCCTCACACGTGCGGATCATGTTGAGGTACTGTAACAGACAGGGCAGCGGTCACACCCCCCACACCTTATACACCATGAGTCTCACATACCAGCCTCTGCCCTCAGCACAGTTACCAGTTACTTGTCTTTCCCTGAGTGAAAGCAAGTGATTCTGACTTTGATAAATAATAATAATAATCCTTGCATTTGATATTGCGCCTTATCACGTCTTCTAATCGGCTCAAAGTGCTTCACAAGATACACTGTAGAGTGAATTGACTGTATATGCATCTTGACACGTCCTCCCAACGTGAAAGGCGCTATAGAAATGTAATTTTGTACTGTATATTCTGTGGGTGAAACGCGGCAGCCAATTGCGCAAAGCAGTATTCCACAAACAGTCGTGGATTGAGGGACCAAATTATTATTAAATTTTTTTTAAGGGATTATTAACCCTGGAAAAGCAATCCTCCAATCAAGGACCCAATTTGCTTCTAGGTAAACAAAGATGTGTGGAGTAAGGAAACTTGCCCAAGGTTTTGCCCTGCCCGGGAATCAAACCCAGGTCCGCTCGCTTGCGAGGCGAATGCTCTAACCACTGAGCTACAGGACTCCATATGGGGAAAAGGCAGGACAACGGGACACAAAGACAGCAGCTGAGGGCTCTCCTCCTCACTGTAAAGCTCTCTGGTTCCAAATGCACATTTAACCCTTTCAGGAAGCACCAAATCCACCTGTAGAAAATCTCTGCGACTCTTACCATGACTTTCTTGTGCTGCTCAGACAGTTTCTGAAGCTGGTAAGACTTGTCGCCCACTCGGATACGGCCTTTCTTCACATCCTCCACAGCCTGAAATCACACACAAAGGGGCTGGTGTCAAGCAGGAGCCAGAGAGACTCCAGCATGATAGCCAGGAGACAGCCTCAACAAATAGCCTTTCATCTCAGGATAAATCAAAGTGGTGGGCAGTTCAAGATTTGCCTCCGAGCAGGGGGTTGGAATCATGAGGGTTGAGGGTAGGGGAAGTGAGAGAGGGAGTGTGGCCGAAGCCATGATCAAAGAAGAAGGACTTGAGACGGGCCTTAAAGGAGGCAAGGGAGGGGGCGAGGCGGATGGAGTTCCAGAGTCAGAAACGCTGAAGGCCCGACCGCCAATGGTGGGCACCTCACCCCTCCCCCAACCCTCTCACCCTCCCCCCAACCCCTACCCCCTCATCCTCCCACAACCATTACAGAGTTCAGGTTCTAATTTCCTTTAGCACAGTCAGTTCATTGATTTTTTTTATTGGTTTCCTTCCATGTACACTTTTAGAGACCCATTGAAATTCATAAATCCATTACGTGTTCCTTTAGAGAAACTAAAATCCTTTTTATAGCGTCAACTCCATTCTGCAGTAAATGTGGGAGCTTTTTTTTAAAAAAAGTGGTTTGTTAAGTGAACTATTACTGCAATTAACGGACGTGGCTTTAAGTGAGGAAATGAAACAAAACTGCAATGGCACACATTGTGGCTCAGTCACTCCCCCTCGGTACCCTGGCCTCACATTCCACACACACACACACACTACAGCAGTGGTGACTAACCTTTATGGTTGGCCAACAAAATACATTTTCGTGATTGAATATTCCTTGTTTTATGCCATAAATCAGGAAACTTTCAATCAAGAAAAACCATTACCAATCGAACACTTACCTAGACTCATGCGACTGTTTGGGTGTTGGTGGGGGGTAGAGGGGGCTGGGGGTCTTCTAGCCCGCGGGCCACAGGTTGGTCACCACTGCACTAGAATAAGCTCCTCACAGTGAGCCAGCCCCACACTTACCTGATGGAAGAAGTAGGTGACTGCTAGGTCGTTGTCGTTCAGGAGCTCCTCTTGGGCCATGGTGAAGAGCCATTTCCTGATGACCAGGCACGTTCCTGCCGCTGCAGACGTATAATTCTGAACGTACAGTTTATGTGGAAATTCATTGGGGGCCAGTTTACGCTCTGTGAACACACCACGCACAGCTCGTCACCTCTGTCACTAGAGATTGTCATTACAGGGACTGGACCCATGTCAGGGCCAGGCCAACAGAGGAATGCTCTCAAAAGCTCAAAGTAATTACAGAACATAGTAAAACACTGAGCGGTGACTGTGACAGATCTGCATCGTGGGAAGGACCGTCCTTCAGATGTTAAACTGTCTGCCTGTTCAGGTGGACGTTAACGATCCTGTGGCGCTATTTAAAGAGCGAAGCGAGTTTCTCTCTCCCTTGTCCTGGCCAACAATCCACAGATAAAATTGGCCATTTGCTTCATGACTGTTTGTGCAACATTGCAGGCCACAAATTAGCTGCTGTGTTTGTCTATTTTGCAACATTAATGATGATAAGGGAAGGGTTTGAAGCTCTAACTCTTAACCTCATGTAGAAGTGGGTGAAAGAATTGTATCAAAAGGCAAATACAAAGACATAAAAAAGTTAGGATATTGAGTAAAAATGAGAGAGATGTCTACTCACCAGACTTAGAGGAACTAAAACCTGTCATAAAGTATTACCACAGCTCTGAGGATAATGAGAAGCAAATGGGATGACGTGGGGAAACACTGGGGAAGAGGGCACAAGGAAGCAGCTTCCTCTGAAGGGTTTTGGAAGGAGGAGCTGTCCTCGGTGCTGAAGCATAAGACACGGCCGTCAGCTTAGAAAAGTGACTGCAACAACAGCTACATTCAGAGCAGTTCATTCGTGGAAGAAACGGCCACTGAGGAGTGAATGTGCAATCAGTTCAGAGTAACTGCTGTTTCTAATATATATTAATGATCTGGACTGGGGCATAGGGAGCACTATTTCCAAGTTTGCAGATGATACAAAGTTAGGTCGGGTAGTAAATAGTGAGGAGGACTGTAACCAACTGCAACAACAACAAGATTCCATTTATAAACTGCAAGCAGATATACACAGAATGGTGGAATGGGCTGACATGTGGCAGATGGATTTCAATGTGGATAAGTGTGAGGTGATACACTTAAGTAGGAAAAATGATCGGAGGCAATATAGACTTTGTAGCTCAATCTTAAGGGGGGTGAACGTACAGAGAGATCTGGGTGTTCAAGTAAGCGAGTCATTAAAGGTAGTGGGGCAGGTAGATAGGGCAGTAAAAAAGGCATTTGGTGTACTGAGCTTTATTAGTAGGGCATAGAGTATAAGAGTAGGGGTTATGGTTAATTTATACAAAACACTGGTTAGGCCTCAGCTGGAGTACTGGGTCCAGTTCTGGGCACATTACCTCAGGAAAGATATTAAGGCACTGGAAAGGGTGCAGAGGAGATTCACGAGAATGATACCAGGAATGGGGAACCTTAGCTATGAGGACAGTGGAGAAGTTAGGACTTTTCCCATTAGAGCAGAGAAGGTTACGTGGGGACCTGATAGAGGTCTTCAAGATCATGAAAGGTTTCGACAGGCGAGATAGGGAAAAGCTGTTTCCACTGGTAGGTGTGTCTGTGACCCGCGGTCACAGTCTTAAGATATCTACCAAAAGAAGCAGAGGGGAGGTTAGGGTTAGAAGAAATGTTTTCACTCAGCGAGTTGTTGGAATTTGGAAAGGGCAGTGAAGTCCGATTTGATAACAGCTTTTAAGAGAGAACTGGACAGGTATCGGGGAGGACAGGTTTGTGGGGTTATGGGGAGAAAGCTGGTGATTGGGGTTAGTGAAAGTGACGCTCTGTCGAGCCGCACAGACTCGATGGGCCGAATGGCCTCCTTCTGTGCCGTAACATTCTATGAATCTGTGAACATGGCAGATTGCTGTTCCAACGGCAAATCGAGGGAGGCTGGGCATTAATGGAGGTATAAATATCAAGTGCAGGGCCTGTATGTAAAGATGATAGCTTCAAAAGCCTTTTTACAGTTTTTAACCATGTTCTTACAATCTATAAACCCACTCCATTCGTTATAATAAATGTTCAGTCAGCACCAGTTACTCATCAGTAACACTAAGGTGTACTAATCCTCCGTAATGTGCTGCACAGTGCAACACAGCGGCTGGTGTTCAGATCACATACCAGAGTAATGAAGATCTGTATCTTATACACCAGCTTTGATTATGGTTGGTTCTCTGAAGTCTGAATTATTATTTTATGGTTCCAGGCACCCGTTAGTCTCTATACACGAATGCAGCACACCCAATCTTTATAAATCATGTAGCCTACATGGCTGCCACTCCAACTCAATGCTGGGAGGAAATTACAGGAGAGGTGCCGTCCTTTGGATGAAGCAAACTGAGTCCTGTTTGCCTGTTCAGGTGCATGTTAAAGATCCCACGGCTCTATTCAAAAAGAGAAGAGAGTTTCTCGCTCCTGGTGTCCTGGCCAACAATCCCCCAGATACAATTGATCACTCACATCAAGGCTGTTTGTGGGACACTGCTATGCACAAATTTGCTGCATTCATCTACAAAATACAGTCACTACACTTTACAGAAAACTGATATGTTGATATCAATGATAAGGCACAAGGACAAATATATGGATTATTAGTATCACAGAATCATGGTATTATACAGCTCAGAAGGAGGCCATTCGGCCCATCCTCTCTGTGCCGGCTCTTTGAAAAGAGCTTCCAAATCAACCCCACTCCCCTGCTCTCCGCATAGCCCTGATCAACCCCACTCCCCGCGCTCTCCCCATAGCCCTGATCAACCCCACTCCCCGCGCTCTCCCCATAGCCCTGATCAACCCCACTCCCCGCTCTCTCCCCATAGCCCTGATCAACCCCACTCCCCGCTCTCTCCCCATAGCCCTGATCAACCCCACTCCCCGCTCTCTCCCCATAGCCCTGATCAACCCCACTCCCCGCTCTCTCCCCATAGCCCTGATCAACCCCACTCCCCCGCTCTCTCCCCAAAGTGCTGATCAACCCCCGCTCTCTCCCCATAGCCCTGATCAACCCCACTCCCCCGTGGTCCCCCCATAGCCCTGATCAACCCCTCCCCCACTCTCCCCCCATAGCCTTGATCAACCCCACTCCCCCGCTCTCTCCCCATAGCCCTGATCAACCCCACTCCCCCGCTCTCTCCCCATAGCCCTGATCAACCCCACTCCCCCGCTCTCTCCCCAAAGTGCTGATCAACCCCACTCCCCCGCTCTCTCCCCATAGCCCTGATCAACCCCTCCCCCACTCTCCCCCCATAGCCCTGATCAACCCCACTCCACCGCTCTCTCCCCAAAGTGCTGATCAACCCCCGCTCTCTCCCCATAGCGCTGATCAACCCCCGCTCTCTCCCCATAGCCCTGATCAACCCCACTCCCCCGCGCTCCCCCATAGCCCTGATCAACCCCACTCCCCTGCTCTCTCCCCATAGCCCTGATCAACCCCACTCCCTCGCTCTCTCCCCATAGCCCTGATCAACCCCACTCCCCCGCGGTCCCCCATAGCCCTGATCAACCCCACTCCCCCACTCTCCCCCCATAGCCCTGATCAACCCCACTTCCCCGCTCTCTCCCCATAGCCCTGATCAACCCCACTCCCCCGCTCTCTCCCCATAGCCCTGATCAACCCCACTCCCCCGCTCTCTCCCCAAAGTGCTGATCAACGCCCGCGCTCTCCCCATAGCGCTGATCAACCCCCGCGCTCCCCCCATAGCCCTGATCAACCCCACTCCCCCGCGGTCCCCCCATAGCCCTGATCAACCCCACTCCCCCGCTCTCTCCCCATAGCCCTGATCAACCCAACTCCCCCGCGCTCCCCCCATAGCCCTGATCAACCCCTCCCCCACTCTCCCCCATAGCCCTGATCAACCCCACTCCCCTGCTCTCTCCCCATAGCCCTGATCAACCCCACTCCCTCGCTCTCTCCCCATAGCCCTGATCAACCCCACTCCCTCGCTCTCTGCATAGCCCTGATCAACCCCACTCCCCCGCACTCTCCCCATAGCCCTGATCAACCCCACTCTCTCGCACTCTCCCCATAGCCCTGATCAACCCCACTCCCCCGCACTCTCCCCATAGCCCTGATCAACCCCACTCCCCCGCTCTCTCCATAACCGTGCAAACTTGTCCTCCACAAATAATGATCTAGAATTGGCACTAAAATTCTGCTCTCCCTTTTGTTTATATTAAAAAAACCTCTTACCAAAGAAGTGGTCCACAACTTCAAACAATGTAAAGAAACTTGCTGTGACACTATCCATGCGCAAGTGCTCTTGTACAGCCTACAGGAATAAAACAGAGCAGTAATAATACTCTCAATAACAGCACTAACACCAGACACACATCCAGAGCAACATAGTAAAGGGACAGATTAGAAATTGGTCCCTTTATCTGGGGGACCTGGACTGAAATCCATAATAATCCCTTAAAAAAAAAAAAATTTGTTCACTCAATCCACAACTGTTTGTGGGGACGCTGCTGTGCTCAATTGGCTGCCGCATTTTGCCCATAAATATACAGTCAATTCACATTACAGTACGTTCTGTGACATCTAGAAGACGTGAAAAGCGCTATATCAAATGCAAGGATTGTTATTATTATTTATTATGACTGTTATTTCACTGTGGCCAGGAAGGACCGTGTGTTGGAATTTCAGAGGGACTAGAAAGAAAAATTCAGGGGAAAAACCCCCAATGATAATAGGTATCAATAACATATAGACAAGAAAGGTTACAGTGTGAGCCAGGTCAGAGCCAGGTGGGGGATACCCTCTGTAAGAATCACAGAATATTACAGCACAGAAGGAGGCCATTCGGCCCATCATGCCTGTGCCGGGTGTTTGGAAGAGCTATCCAATCAGTCCCACTCCCCCGTTCCTTCCCCATATCCTTGCAAATCATTCCTTTTCAAGTTCCTCTCCAATTCCCTTTTGTAAGTTATTATTGAATCTGTTTCCACTATTTCAGGCAGCGCATTCCAGATCATAAAAACTGGGTAAAAAAAAAATTCTCATCTCCCCTCTGGTTCTTTTAGTAATTATCTTAAGTCTATGTCCCATGATTACCGACCTATCTGCTTGGAGAAACCATATTCTTCATGCTTCATTTAAAAACTCGTGGTGACATTAGTAACGCCTGTAGTACGCCTGTAACTCTCAATATTAGAGGTCTGGTTTCTACACTTAAAAGATGATTTGATGAGTCCACAATTCGAATAGATTTAGCACAGCTTCATTCTGCCTGTGACTGAACAGAGAGTGAGAGTGCAGCTCACCCGATAGACATCCTCTGCCGTGCTGTTCTTTTTAACAGTGACTGTTATGATGTTTCTGTCTGGCAATGCTATCCTCAGGTCCACATCAGAGAGCCCATTGGTACTCTGCAAGCAAAGGAAACAAAGCTGTGAGTATTAATAATAATAATACTTGCATTTGATACAGCACCTTATCATGTCTTCAAGAAGTCTCAAAGCGCTTCATGAATATACTGTAAAGTGAATTGACTGTATATTTTGTAGGTGAAATGCAGCAGCCAATTGCACACAGCAGGGTCCCACAAACAGTCATGGATTGAGTGACCACATTTTTTTTAAGGGATTATTAACCCCAGAAAAGCAATCCATCAATTGACTAGCAACAGGATTCCTACTTACTGCTGGTAAACAGAGGCGCGTGGAGTAAGGAAACTTGTCCAACATTTCGCCCTGAACGGGTCCTCCTACTTGCGAGTTGAGTGCTCTAACCACTGGGCTGCAAGACTATTAAATACACCATTTGATGCAAATTCCCTAATCTCCCTAAGAAATTATTAAATTATTATAAAGACCCATGACTGGAGACTGACTGTGACCCAAACAGAACCCAGGCTTTAATCTTAAGAGATTAACAATTGCATTTCTAGACCATGCATCCCCAATCTCTGGTGAGGTGGGAACATTCTCAGTCGTGACACATGTCCCTGTACATCATTAACAACTCAAACTGATAGTTCCCTTCCCTAGACCAGGGTCACCAAGGCCAACTGCACCATTACTGCCACCACGGCTGAGATCAGCCAGACTGGTGAATAACCTGGGGTATTCCTGAGTCACTTCCACAGTAAGAAGCGACATACCAGCTAGGAGTTCATTAAAGCTGTGAAATCGTGAATCAGAAACTGTAGTATTCGGGTCCAGTTTGGCAAATCCTATTTTCTTCCAAGTTCACATCTGCTGAGTCTGTGTGGAGCCGATTTCCCCCAATCAGTTTCAGTACATGACCTGCTTTATGGCACACACACTAAACAACACTACAACGCTGTCAATACAGCCCAAAGGCTAATAAATCCATCAAAAATCTCCAACACACACCCTATAATCAACCATTCACAGCTGCCGTATGCTACACAGCCTCAGTGTTAGTTACTGTATGTGACATGTTGGTTAAATTGTAAATCTATTACAGAAGAGAAGGCTATGTCAACACGATAAGCTGACGTGTCAGAGAAATGATTGTTAAATCACCAGCCTCTCATAGAATCATAGAACACTACACAACAGAAGGAGGTCATTCGGCTCATCATGCCTCATCATCCAGCTCTTTGGAAGATCTACCCAATAAGTCCCACGCTCTTTCAACAACAACAACAACTTGCATGTATATAGTGCCCCTCACATTTCAGAATGCTTTCCCCATATCCTTGGATATTTTTCCTCTTCAAATTCCTATCCAATTCCTTTTTGAAAGTTGTTATTGAATCTGTGCCCACCCTTTCAGGCAGCGCATTCCAGACTGACAACTCTCTGGGTAAAAAAAATTCTTCTCATCCCCCCTCTGTTTCTTTTGCCAATTATCTTAAATCGGACAAATATTACAGCCACACATTTGCTGGCAGCTGGCTGGCCCCCAACAACAACAAAATTACATTTGTAGAGCGCCTTTCACGTCGGGAGGACATCCCAAGCCGCTGGACAGTCAGGGATCAGGACCCGAGCATGGGGGAGGGGTGGGGTAGGGGTGATGGAAGGCAAAGAGGTGGGAGGGCAACCAAAGGCACAATCGAAGAGAAGGGTCTTGAGACCGGCCTTGAAGGAGGTGAGGGAGGAAGCGAGGCCAAGGGATCACGGGATGGAGTTCCAGAGTGTGGGGGCAGAGAGGCTGAAAGCCCAGCCACCGACAGTAAGGCAGGTCGGGCGGGAGACATGGGAGCAGACCGGAGCCCGCTGAATGGAGGGAGCGGGCAGGTTGGTAGGGAGTCAGCAGGTCAGAGCGGTAGGGGGGGGCAAGGCCATGGATTGCCTTAAAAGTGAGGACGAGGATCTTGAACTCGATCCTCTGGGGGATGGGGAGCCGGTGGAGTCGGGAGAGGGTGGGGGTGATGGGGTCACTGGTGCGTGAGAGTACACGAGCTGCAAAGTTTTGATGATCTGCAGAATGTGAAGGGAAGAGTTGGGAAGGCCGATGAGAGGGAAGTTCCCGTAATCGAGCCTTGAGGTGACGAATGTGTGGGTGAGGGTTTGGGACCCTGAGGGGTGAGGCAGTGGAGGAGTCTGGCAATGTTGCGGAGGTGGTGGTAGGCAGTGTCGGCCATGGCGCGGATGTGGGGGAGAAAGGACAATTCAGGGTCAAACAAGACCCCCAGGTTCCTGACTGGCTTAGTGAGGTTGCGTGTGCAGCCGTGGAGGCTGATGCTGCCATCGCCTGAGGTGCGGAGACGCTGGCGCGAGCCAATCAGGAGGGCCTTGGTCTTGCTGACGTTGAGTTGGAGAAAGTTGTCCCTCATCCAGGACTTAATGTCGGACAGGCAGTCGGTCAGGACGCCAGTAATTCTGGAGTTCAGGGTGGAGGCAGAGTTGGGTGTCATCCACATACATGTGGAAATTTACCCTATTTCTGCAGATGATGTCACCAAGGGGGAGCATGTAGAGGGTGAGGAGGAGGGGACTGAGGACAGAGCCTGAGGAATGCCGCACGAGATGGTGCGTGGGCTGGAAAAGAAGCCGTTTGCCGCAACGAAGTGGAGGCGGTGTGAAAGGTAGGACCTGAACCAGTCAAGACAAAACCTTGAAAGTTGAGGTGGGAGGAAAAGCGGTGGAGGAGGATTGAGTGGTCCATGGTGTCAAAAGCAGCGAGGTCGAGGAGGATGAGGAGGCAGAGGGAGCCCTGGTCACACATGGTCAGGATATCATTTGTGACCTTGACCCGAGCAGTTTCCATGCTATGGGCAGCACAGAAACCTGATTGGAGGGGCTCATGGAGGGAGTGGGAGGAGAGGAAAGAGCGAAGCTGTGAGGCAACGGCTCTTGCAAGGACCTTGGACAGAAAAGGGAGGTTTGGCTTTGGCAAGCTTTGGCACAGGGCACCAGCACAGCAGTCTCAAGACAATCAGAGCACTGCGTCCCACTATCACCAGGCTAGTGCCATATACAATAAACATAATCCTCTTCAGTTTGTGCCTTCAACAGCTAATACAACACTGAACATTTTTCAAGCACGACACAAATAAACTTGTTTATGCTCGTACAACTTTAGCTGAAGTACTTTTTTTCTGGTTGTTGTTGTTGCAGAGAATGATTGAATTAACTCACCAATGCTAAGCAGGCTTTTATCTCTTTAAAAAAGATTGATAATAATAATAATGATGATCCTTGTAAGCACTTTGATACTCTGTACAGCACAAGTCCGTAATAATAACCCTTGCATTTGATATAGCGCTTTTTCGTGTCTTCAAGACGTCTCAAAGCGCTTCACAGAATGGTGAATTGACTGCATATTTTGTGGGTGAAACACGTTTGATTTCTCAATCGCAATCCACACTTACCCTGGAGATAGAGAGCAGAGCATCACTGGATTAAAGGTCTGGTCTTGGAGAAGGAGCTCAAAATTGGGCTTGATTGTAACAGGCAACACAGCCAGGCTGCACCTCCCCTGTCTCTAGCTGTACTGACTCTGTACAGTTGTACAGTTGTACAGTTGTACAGAGTGGTCTGTACCAATCAATGAAACATCATAACCAGTATAGATGGAGACTAACGGGCTGAAGACTGTCACAGCCTAGCCACAATGGAAAGTCGTGGAGTCCTATAGCTCAGTGGTTAGAGCGCTCGCCTCGCAAGCAGGAGGACCTAAGTTTGATTCCCGGGCAGAGCGAAACGTTAGGCAAGTTTCCTTACTCCACACGCCTCTGTTTACCAGCAGTAAGTAGGAACCCAAATGTTATTCGATTGGCGGATCGCTTTTCCGGAGGTAATTTTACTCGGAGTCCATAAAGTAAACCCCAGGGAAATTATTTGCAGCGCTGAATACATTTAAAAGATAGTCGCTCTGCCTTCCGTGGAACTGAAGCAGTCCAGGAAATAGGAACCACACATTACATTGTCAGTACCCACTTTCAGCTAATTTATATTCCAGGAGTACTTCAAGTTAAAGTGCTTCTAGAATATCCTGAGATTTGCCTGAAGGCTCCACAAGTGCAGCAGACTATGGCCCAGCAAAGGGGTAAATAGAGTTGAGGTACAGATCAGTCATGATCTACCAGAATGCCGGAACAGGCTCGAGAGGCTGAATGGCCTACGCCTATTCCTATGCAGTTGCCCGTGCACATCCCTTCCCCCGATTGGTATCCAACCCGACCACTATACAGGACTCAGACACTCTCCTGTGTAAAGGGTGCTATATAAGTGTAAGTTGTTATTTTTGACAGATGCCTTTGGGAATTTTGTTCCGTTTGGGGGAGGGGTGCAGGGGGTGCAGACACCACAGCAGAATAAACTGTTGACCTGGACCTTCACAGGATCTACACCTCTGGACACTCACTGCTGCCAATGCCCCTCACAGAGCTGCAATCTAAGGCACAGTTGCCACCAGCAGAAGCAGATACAGCATTATAGATTCCCAATTTCTGCATTAGGAAAACTCCAGGAAAGATGAATTAGAATTGCTTTACACATCTCCATCTGAATTTACAGCACCCTCTCTAGAGGAAAAGCAGTTTTCCCTCCACAAGCTGTAGATCATCCAGGACTCTGCAGCTCATGTCCTCCTGCACCAGGTTCCGTGACCCCATCACCCCCATCCCCCAGAGGATACAGTTCAAAATCCTTATCCTTGCCTTCAAGGCCTTGCCCCTCCATACCTCTACAACCTGCTGACCCCATATCAACTTGTCCGCTCCCTCCGCTCAGCAGCCTCTCTCCTGCTCCACGTCCTGCCCCACCATCGGCAGCCAGGCCTTTACCCTTTCTGCCCCCACCCAATGGAACTCCATCCTACATTCCCTTCGCCACACTCCCTCGCCCCCTTCAAGGCGTGTCTCAAAACCCTCCTCTTCGATCGAACCTTCATCCCCCGCCTACTCTCCACCCTCCCAATCCTGATCCCCAGCTCGGGTCCAGATTCCTGACTGTCCAGCACCTTGGCACGTCCTCCCGATGTGAAAGGCACTTTACAAATGTAATTTTGTATATTATTGTAAATAGTATTGTAAATGTTCAAACAAAAGCCGGAGGTGACCGAGTGTGGCTGACAGTTCTGGGTGGTGAGGGATATGTAGGTTATGTTTAATACCAAGAACTGTCAAACATGGGAAAACTTGTGCTGTGAAATGCATAAATCGAGAAATATTCAATCAAGAAAATTAATTTTTTTGGCTGACCATAAAGGTTGGCACCACTGGTCCACAGCATCAATCAAGAGGTATTTACTGGTCAAATACGAGACTTTGTGCCCAGTCCAACTCAGTGAATTGCCTGCCTCACAGACCAGGGCAATGAAAATGGAGAACTGCCAGGTTGTCCCGATATGGTAAATGGTCCCGTTCATACCTCCTATGTCATGCAGTTTGTGTCTTTAACCCTTTGCAATCAGCAAAGACTGAACAGCTCATGTGTGAACCCTGAATGTTAATAAAATTCCTGAATTCGGGGCGGGGGAACTGTTTTGATCAGAAGTGAATTATTACAAATGTTTAAGTTAGGTTTGCTTATGCTTGATAGCAAGTGTTCAGCCGGCCTGCAGAATTACAATCCTGATTATAGAGGTTGTGCTGAATAGGGGGAGGATATTTATGCTCATTATCAGGCGTCGAGATGACTACAGCAGAACTACAATCTGGATTATTGAGATGCTGAACCTCTATCCAAGGCTCTATGCGTAGCTGGTATAACTCCAGATAAAATGCCCTGAGAAAATGGTAGTTCGCTGGGTATTGTATTACGAAGAGTCAACCAAGGAAGAAGACGTGAATCTGTTATTGCCGCTGTAGCTTGTGTTAATTGCTGCTGTACAGTCAGTCCTGCATTGTCTTGATCAGAGTCAGCCTAAGGATCCAAGGCCGATATGATTAAACAATCATCAGGTGGGTGAGAACATGCTGACCAGCACACACCAGCCTGAAGTAAAGACATGAAGAACCAGAGTATTGGCTGAGCCACACTTCAGCAGTTTGAGTTAGTGAGAGAGCGTGAACATTGTTCGCTCCTCCAGGAGGGCAGAACTCCCAGCTGAGGTTCAAGTAACATCAGAAGAAGTAAAAAGAGCGAACACTCTTACGGATATGATCAGCGAGTACGAGTTTTGAATCAGTTGGAGAACTTCATTGTCCGGGGAAGGTGAACCCATCGGTCCCCAAAGAAACTTACTTTCCTGCTTCAAATATTGTCAGATTATCCAGCTGTTGCTGCGCAGCGATTGTACTCATAGAAACAGGAGCAGGCCATTCAGCACCTCAAGCCTGTTGTGCCATTCTATAAGATCATGGCCGATCTATACCTCAAGTCCAATTATCCCCCCTTGCTAACAAATCCTATCGAAAAGCTTCCCTGTTTACTCCCGATGTGAAAGGCGCTCTATAAATGGAATCTTGTTGTTGTTATTTACAAATAAATGCCTTCACACTAGTAGATTTTATGGGTGTCCACACTAATATCATGAAGTGATGAAAGCATTTTGCTTCTCTTGAGAGCTGAACTTTGTGATAAACTCTGGGAGGAAATGCATTAGATTTGACTGTGTGCAAGATTGCAGAAAAAGCTTGCAGTCAAAATCTGGTGAGCCCACAAAAGAAATAGAGGTGAGATCAATGCAAGAAAAGCCACTGTTAGCAGCACATAGAGCAGCAGGTCCCAGTGGAGTTATCGGCTGCTCAAAACATCAGTCGTGAGATGGATTGCCAGAAGAAGAGGTTTAAGAAACAAAATAGCTGCTTCCATCATTTGACTGAGAACAGATGGCTTCACAGCCTGAACGCTATAAGCCACGCTCTGCATGTCTGGAACAGTAATGTCAATGCTGGCACAATGTTGGACGGCATGTCTCTGTACGAGGTGAGACCTGTAAGTTAATAGGAGTGTGGATTTGCTTACCTCACTGGAATCAGCTAGGAACTCTTGCATGATATCACTTTCTCCGATCACACTCACTGAGCACACTGCAAACAAAACACAGAGACCATCAAATCCCAATCCCGAACCCGAGTAAACTCCATCCCAAACCCACTCCTGAACCCAATTACGGGATAACTTGAACCCAACTGCAACCTAACCCAGACAATCCTGCTTAACAGATGCCTGCCGTGTATTCATATCCCTAAAATCTTATTCCTCCTCCACTCCACACACCAGTCCCTACCCAAGAAAGAGCACAGGCAACCAGTCTTGAGTCCTTTAACCCCTCTTTTCAGAGGAGCATCCGATTTGGTCCCAGGCCTCAGTTTGTTGGCACCATCAAAACCAGATAGTCACAATGTTGGAACAAGGCGGAAGGGCGGCGAAGAAAGAGTGCTGGACAAAGCAGAATCCAAGCACAAAAGCTATCAGAAATATTACAATAAAAGAAATGACGAAGTTCTATGGGCTGCTAACGGGTTTACTGTAATAACAGGGTGCAGTAGAAAATGTCTATAAAACAACACTGCCCTGTTTGCTTTGGTGAGGAGCACGTCATCAGATGCCACAACTTGCTGAGGTTCAGTCATACAGCTGCTACAGGAGGGCCACAATAACCATTCTTTTCTCTTTTTATTCAATTATTTTCTTCCCACTTGATAACATTCCTGGGCACTAGGCCTGCTCGACAGTGTGGAGACATCAGCCTTACATTACATAGTCATCAGAGGAGTCTACACTACTTTCACATAACCTGGAATCCAGTAGCTTAGTGGTTACAGCACTCACTTCGCGAGCGAGAGGACTTATTGGTTATTGATAATAATTCCTTCAAAATAAATGTTAAAAAATAATTTGGTCACTCAATCCCTGACTGTTTGTGGGACACTGCTGTGCACAATTGGCTGCCACGTTTTGCTCACAAAATATACAGTCAATTTACTTTACAGTATATTCTGTGAAGCGCTTTGAGACGTCTCGAAGAACGTGATAAGGTGCTATATCAAATGCAAGGATTATTATTATAACCTGCAGTTATACCAGGAAACTGTATCTAATGGCTTTATTAAATATTCTTATTAACCTTTATTAACTTGCACCGGCATTAACCTTTTATTAACCCAAACGAGCATCAACCCTTTAATTCACACTAGCATTAATCCTTTATTAATTTGTACAGGGATTAACAAATTGCTAACCAAAACAAGCCTTCAAAAATACAGCAATTAATCCCTTCACAGCAATGCCAACTAAATCAGCCTCTCCCAATGTAGGGCATCCAAACCTCCCTGGATGAATAAGGAAATTGGGATTAAAATAAAACAGGAAAAGGAGGCTTATGATAAATATCAGGTCCAAAATATAGAAGATAATCAAATAGAATATAGAAAGTACTGAAAAAACAAATAAGAGGGATACAGGGATTGTATGAGAAAATATTAGCTGGTAACATAAAAGGGAACCCTTCGGTATTTTATCAGCATATAAAGAATAAAAGGTTAGTCAAAGGTAGGGTGGGGTCGATTAGGGACCAAAGAGGATATCTTCTTGTGGAGGCAGATATACTGAATGAGGACTTTGCATCTGTCTTCACAAAAGAAGAGGATGGAGCCAATGCCATAGTATTGGAGGAGAGGGTAGAGAAATTGGATAAGATAAGAATAAACCGAGGGGAGGTACTAAAAAAGGCTGTCGGTGCTCAAGGTAGATAAGTCACCCGGTCCGGACGGGAAGGGAAGTAAGGGTGGAAATAACGGAGGCTCTGGCCACAATCTTTCAATCCTCTTTGGACACCGGGGTGGTGCCAGAGGACTGGAGGGTTGCAAATGTTACTCCCCTGTACAAAAAGGGGCAGAAGGATAAACCCGGGAACTACAGGCCAGTCAGGCTAACATCAGTTGTGGGCCAATATAAATTTTACTTAAAACAATATGGGTTAATAAAGGACAGCGAAGAAGGATTTGTCTAAAACACCTGATAGAGTTTTTGGATGAAATAACAGAGAGGGTGGATGAAGGTTGATGTAGTTTACATGGATTTTCAAAAGACGTTTGATAAAGTGCCGCATAAGAGACTTGTGAGCAAAATTGAAGCCCACGGCATTAAAGGGACAGTGGCAGCGGATACAGAACTGTCTGGGAGACAGAGAGCAGAGTGGTGGTGATGAACGGTTGTTTTCCTGACTGGAGGGAAGTGTGCAGTGGTGTCCCCCAGGGATCGGTATTGGGACCACTGCTGTTTGTGATCTATATAAGTGACCTGGACTTGGGTATAGGGAGTACAATCTCCAAGTTTGCAGATGATACTACGCTGGAAAAGTAGTAAACAGTGAGGAGGATAGTAACAGACGGCAAATGGACACAGACAGACTGGTAACACGGGGCAGATGAAGTTTAATGTAGAGAAATGCATGAGAAGTGATGCATTTTGGAAGGAAGAATGAGGAGAGGCGATATAAGTTGATGGGACAATATTAAAGGGGATGAAGGAACAGAGAGACCTGGGGGTCATATAAGTAAATCTTTGATGGTGGCCGGACAGGCAGATAGAGCTGTTAATAAAGCATCCGGGATACTGGGCTTTATAAATAGGGGCATAGAATACACAAGTCAGGAAGTTATGATGAACCTTTATAAACACTGGTTAGGCTTCAGCTCAAGACTGTGCTCAGTTCTGGGCCCCACACTTTGGGAAGGATGTCAAGGCATTGGAGAGGGTGCAGAGGAGATTGACCAGGATGGTACCAGGAATGAGGGACTTCAGTTATCAGGAGAGGCAGAGAACCTGGGATTATTCTCCTTGGAGCAGAGAAGGTTAAGAGGTTAATAGAAGTTTTCAAAATTATGAGGGGATTCGACAGGGTGAACAAGGAGAAACTATTCCCACTGGCGGGTGGGTCGGTAACCCAAGGACACCCATTTAAAATAGTTGTTAAAAGAAACAGAGGGGAGTAGAAATGTTTTCACACAGTGAGTTGTTGGGATCTGGAAAGCATTGCCTGAAAGGCTGGTGGAAGCTAATTTGATAACAACTTTTAAGAGAGAAGCAAATAATTATTTGGGGAGGACAAGTTTGCAGGGCTATGGGGAGAGAGCGGGGGAATGGGGTTGATTTGGAAGCTCTTTTCAAAGCGCCGACACAGACACGATGGGACGAATGACCTCCTTCTGTGCTGTATAATTCTATGATTCTATGCCAGTTGGGCAAATACCGCAAGAGACAATACGATTAATGAGGAATGGCACTGAAATGATAGCGGCAGATTATTCTTTCACACACCACTGCCAATAGCTGAGAATATCTCAAACAACTAGTGACTGAATCGTCAGCAACAGGCTGTCTCTCTTACTGCACCTCAAAACAGCAAAGTGCAGCATTGGTGAACCCTCACCCAAACTACCCAGGTGAGGGGCTAGAGGTCAGCTAGCACAACAAATGTACTCCAGCTGTAGTGTAGCATCTTCCAGATGGGGGTGGAGGCTGGGAGGAGAGGGGAGAGAAAAGGAAGAGCTAGACAACACCATGAAACTGGACAAAATATACTATCATAAGAACAGGAACTGGAGTCATTGGAGTCCGAATGGAAGTCATATCAGCCGAGTCGTACCTCCTGGAACTTGGTGCAAGTTACTGGGATCCAAGGAAGACATTTGCCACTAAACGAGGGGACGACAAACATCACAACCCAAACTCCCATAGGAGCAGGGTCCTCCTGACGAAAGTAAAAATCACCTGGAATCAGAATGTGAGCTGCACAGGGTCGCAGGGATGAGAGAGGGATAAAGTACAAACTGAGTGTAACAACAACAAATTACATTTGTAAAGCGCCTTTCACGTCAGGAGGACATCCCAAGGCACTGGACAGTCAGGGATCTGCACGCAAGCTAGTGGTTGGAATCAGGAGGGGTGGAGGGCAGGGAGGGTAGCGGTAGAAGGCGCGGTCAAAGAGGAGGGTCTTAAGAAGGTTGACTGTCTTCCTGTAGGGGTGCGGGACCGGTGATGTGTGAAACTGATTACTTTTCATCTGCCCACTATTGGGGCCAGGAATGGGAGAACGTGGAATCAGAGGAACAGCAGTAGACCATTCAGACCCTTGAGCCTGTTCCGCTATTCTATAACATCACGGCTAATCTGTACTTCAAGTCCAATTACCCACCCTTGCCCCGTATTGCTTAATACCCCGACCTAACAGATATCTATCCACCTCAGTCTTGAACATATGAATGGATCTAGCCATAATCCACAACCTTTTGGGGGAGATAGTTCCAGATTTCTACAACTCTTTGGGTGCAAAACTGCCTCCTGATTTCACTTCTAAATAGCCTATCTCTAATTTTAAGGATTATGCCCCCTTGTTCTCGATTCCCCAACCAGAGGGAAATAACAATCCTTGCATTTGATATTCCGTCCTGTTATGTCATTGAGACGTCTAAAAACACTTCCCTGAATATACTGTAAAGTGGATTAACTTATATTTTTTGGGTGAAATGCGGCAACCAACTGCGCACAGCAGTGTCCCACAAACAGTTGTGTTTCAAGTTCTAATTGGCTGCACGGAGCAAAACAGGGGGAGCTTATGAATTATTTTCATGCCTTTAATATTGTAAGTTTCAATTTCTTCTGTTTCAGTTTAATGATTACTGCCTTAAGATGGGAAATGTAAAAAAAAAGTCTTCAAAGTGGTAATGTGGAGAGAATGATTTGTTTGGACTGATGGAGACAATTCCTGGAGGCCTCGAAGGTTTGCATTGGTTTAAGGTTGAGGGCTGTACACTGTACAGTGCAGGTTTCTGTGAGCTTCAGAAGAAGGGTTTTTGATGACAGCAGACTTGTTTTTCTTCCCCTCCAAATTTCTGAGATAGAATTGATTCTAATGGGTCTATGACAGTGTTCCCCCCACGTGAAAGGTGCTATATAAACAAATGCAAGTTGTTGTTGAAGTCTTTACAAACCAATCTATAAAATGTTGACTTTTATTTGTCACCAGGAAGGGGAGACTTCTGAAAAGTAAGTACAGTGGAGTCCTGTAGCTCAGTGGTTAGAC